CGTTTGTATTGTCCTACGATTGAGGCTTATGACTTCAAATTTTATCACAACCATAAATGGGATATGAATGGCTCAGTGGATTGTTACTCGATTGGCGGCGCCAATGCTGAGGTTCGATTCCCCGCGGGAGTAAACGAGTAAAAATAAAAATCCGGGTAATGCTGGTGACTTACCTTTAGGTGTTTAACGTGATTCTTAAAAATATCAAAAAATTAGTTCATTTTTTTTTTTTTTCGAAATTTATTTTGCTGAATTGCTAATGAAGAATGAAGAAAAAAAGAAGAAAAACTTTTTTTGCGTTAATTCGTTAAAATATTTTTTAAATATTTTAAATTGTTTACGCTCTCACAGTTTAGTTATAAATAATTTATAAAATTTTTCAAGTCAAAAAAAATGATTAATTGAAAATATTTGAAAAATAAAATTAAAAATTTTATAGAAAATTTGTAGAGAAGTAGGGAAACAACCTTTTTTTTTTCAAAGATTCATTTATTGATGATCTTTTTTGAAATTTTCATTACTAATGGTGGTAACAGAGGGAGGGGATGGGGAAGAGATGAGGCAATAGGATGGTTCAATGGATTGTTGCTCAGAGTTCGAAGCCAATGGTGAGGTTCGACTTTCCGCAAGAGCAAATCTATTCGGATGATGCTGGCGACTCATCTGTACTTCTATCACCAAGGAACTCTCTGGCGTATTTGCCTAGCACTATAAGCCAGCGAAGCGAGTCTGACTAGTAATGGTGAGGGCTGTTGAAAACAAAAAAAAATGGTGACCTGGTTATTAAGAGAAAATCTAGTTATTACGAATTTTATTGTAAAAACGTAAATTGTTTCATCCGTAAATCCGTAAATCTTTTTCTTCATCTCCTTCGTCTTTATAATCTATTCATGTTGATTATTTTGTTAATACAGTTAAATCTAAATCACCAATTAACACCTTATTCACCAAATCCCTTTTGAATAATATCACTCCTCACTCTTATTCTGGTTATCGTTGCCTTCATCCCTCAAAATTTTCGTCTAACGCTAATCTTTTAATGAGATAATTGAAATTGTATGCAATTTATACTCTATCACTCTTTCTTGGAATTTCTTGGAATCTACAACCTATAAAAAATCTTAAAATTTTCTAATTACTTCGCTATGCAAATATGATCTTAATTTTTTAGATCTTAATTATAGTACCATTATATTTTAGGTTATCTCGATTGAAAAATTTCTCAGAATCTGCTAAATTTTTTGTACCTTCACAAACCTTTTAATCCACATTTAATCTTATCAAAAGCAAATAAAGACTTCCTTAAAGATTTTCATGGGCATTCTGTGACTGTGAAATGATAACCTGAATCTCGTTCCACTAATGCTTCTTAGAAATCCACCATTTTATCTTGGAAAATCGGTCTATCTTGTCGAAACTATCGCAAATCCTTAAAATTTCGCCATACTTCGTGAAATCCTGTCAAATATGCCCTTAAAATATCTTTCTATTTTTCCCTATCTCATAAGTCCCATTTCTTAGATCCCACGTGGTCTTATTAAACTTTGCCTATAATCATATTAAACTTTAATAGAAGTACTCTATTATCGTCTTAAGGATAACTGTATGGTTGTCACCATTTTGAGCATTATTTCTACTTCGGAACTTCCTATCATTAAAAATCTGAAATCCTGAATTCCTAAGTAATTTTTCATCATATACAGCCAATGGAACCTCCAAAAATGGAGCCATTTAGTTATTTATGAGTTTAACTTTCATGGAAGCTTCATGATATATTCTTTTAATGCTGCGTCAATCTTTGCTGTGTTCTTTTGCCATATATCTATTTGTATTTTTACCGTAAATCTCCTTGCATGACCTAAATCATTTAGACCATTAAATTTGCTTCACTGACAGGTTCCTCAGAACTTGTTCCATACTCTCAAAACCTCTTTAATCTTTTTCGATAATTCATCAAGCTATCCTCTAATGTTTTGTTTAAATCCGATATTGACACGATATTTTTAAATTCCCTTATTCACAAAGCTACTTTCTAAAAGGCTTTAAAACTGGTTACAACCTGCAGCCTGAAGCTTCTATCTATTTGTTTTTTCTGTAGAAAATCTTTCCAAACCCAAAAGTTTCCGGATTTTGGGGATATATGAAGGATTATGAGATGAGGTTTTACGATGACCTTACTTATCAGTTGATGCATTCTGCATTAATTTTAAAAAAATATAAAATCTGTTTTGAAATATTTTAAGAATCCGTACTAATTTGTCTCATCGGTTTTCAAAATTCAACATTTCTTACTTCATTTTCGCTTTTATTGCAGCCAACTTTTTCGAATTACCCTCATTATTCTTGATTAGATTCATTTCGTCCATCTATCGGGTCAAATAAATTTTATCAAAAAGGTCGGTCATATGGCGATCGAAATATAGGTGAGTCGTTAGTCGTTAATATCACCAAGTTTTTTGTTATTATTTTACTTTTATCATAAAATAGAACCACAACATTGAAATGATTGCAATAATTCACTGAACTATTCCATAATGCAGGTGTTTTTTTTGAAATTTATTAAAAAATGCAAAAAGACGAAATTAGAATTTTTAAATATCAATAATAATATTTTATAATAATAATGATAACAATAATAATGATAATAATAATAATGATAATAGTAATGATAATAATAATAATGATAATAATAATTAATAATTTAATAATATTTTATTTTTATTTATTTATTAAATTTATAGTTAAAGTAAATAGTAAAAGTAATATAAATAGTAAAAGAATGAATGATTGTAGTCGACGAGTTGTTCGTTCTTTCTTCGTAAATCTCAAAGTCGTCGCGTAAGTCATATAAAATCTCAAATGATGGATTAATGCCGACCCCGATAAAACAAACATGCGTGCAATTCACCCTAACAAATTTCACCCTAACGAATTTGACATATTCTCGACGATATTTTTATTATTGTAAATTTATGTTACACTTTCAATTAATAATTTTCATTTCATTTCATTTTAGTTTTGCGGTTATCGATGATAATTCATTGAACACTTATCACTTATTCTTATCATTTCTTCTCCTTATTAATATTATTATTTATTAGTAAATTAAATAATTTTTTATTTTAATAATTTTTTCAAATAATTTTATGATTTTGAATAACTTATGATTTTAATGATTGAAAGAAATATTTTATTTGTAAAGGATTTTTTTTTTTCATTAAATCATTAAAAATTTATTTATTTAACTTATTTATTTATTTAACTTTTAAAAAAAAAGTTTTTAATTTTTATTATTTTATTAAAAACAATTTAAAAAATTTTTAAATTTTTAAAATTTTTTTTAAAATTCATTTTAGTTAGTTTTTAATTATTATAATTCTTTATAATTTCTTATAATTTCAAAAATCCTCCTTTATATTTTGAATTCAAATTTTAAATTTTAAATTTTATAAAAAATGTGTGAAAAAATAAACAAAAAAAAGAAAAATAAGTGGATTTTTGAATTATTTTACATTAAATAAATAAATAAATAATTAAAAAATATTTTAATCCCTTAGTTTTTTTGAAATTTAAAATTTAAATTCAAAATACAAAGGAATATTTTTGAAATTATAAGAAAAAAATATATTCGAATATTTTTTATATATTATATAAATGTGAAAATATATAAAAATATATGGAATATATTTATAAAAATATAAAAATATAATAAAAGTATATAAGTATATAGAATATAAAAATATATGGAATATGGAATATAAAAAAATATATATAAAATATATATATTTAATAAAAATATTTTTCAAATTTGTTAGCGATAATTTCTTTTTTTTTTCCTTGATTTTATTAATTATTTTATTTTTTATTCCCAATTTTTGTGGTAATTGTAAGAATGGAATTATATACGAAAAATAAAAATAAAGGAGGTAGAATAACCGAGTGGTTAATAAGATTGATAGGCATTGATATTCCAATACATTATCAGTCATATCCAATATCAGTCATATCAGTAAGATTGTCATTTATAAATCCACTTATTTTATTTTACTTCACTTTACTAGAATATTACTAAATTCTATAAAAATTTTTTATTTTAATTATTGATATTCGTGTTATATATATATATATAATTATATAATAAAAATTTTAATTCAAATTTTATTATAATTTTATTATTAATATTTATAATTTTATTATTTAGTTCAAATTTTCTTTTTTTATTATTTTTCCAATGATCGCTCATCATTTCTGGCATTTTGTTGTTCGCTTCGTTAATTTCTCCGACCAGTTATAAAATATTCGAATATTACAAAAAGGTTGAAATTATTAAAGAGGATTTAATCGAGGAATTTGAGTAAATAAATAAATATACTACTCACTAACTGGTTGCATAATAATAGGAATAGTTGTTGCCTAGTATTATAACTATAAACGAACGACACTGTGTGGCTCACTTATTGCTTATTCACTCTATAAAAAATTTTTATTTCGTCGAGATGCAATCCATCTTCGCAATCGTAATAGATCTGCCTAGAAATATTTAGTACCAAATATTTAGTACCAATTTAGCTTCAAATAATAGTCGATTCGTATCGAAACAACTCGTCTGCAAATATTTATATATGACTTGTTCCAAATAAATAACCCGTCTATAACACCAAATTTATTTAGTTTATTTTCAGATAAACCTGTTTCTCGAAGCGTAAGCATTTTGAAATTGCTACTTATTGTGAAGGTTATCTCAAATAAACAAATAAATAAGTAAATAAATAAATAGCTTTTTTTTTATTATTTATTATTTATATTGGTTCTTTTTTTAATATTTTATTTATTTTTAATATTTTTATTTTTCGAATTATCGCATTAAAATTTTCGATTTTAACAATTTAACAATTAATTAATTTATTATTTATTATTAATTTAATTAAAATTTATTATTAATTTTGCGTTTTTTATGAATTTATATTATTTTAATAAATATAAGATGAAATTTTTTTTAGATGAATAACAATAATAATAATAATAATCGTAAGGTGACAGCAAATGGTTTTCTTTATGTTGCACCATCAAATATTGACTTTTCGCAACCATCACATTCCGCTAAGGTTTTATTCTTTATTTTTTTTCCTAAATTTTTCAAATTTATATTATTTTTATTGTTTCATTTTTTATTTTTATTATTATTATTTCTGTAAGAGCGATTCATTATTTCTGCTGGCTAAGCTTATTGGACCAAGCAAATCTTGCCAGAGAGTTATTTTACGATAAAAGTATGGAATAGATTGTTCTAGCAGATCAGTCGGATTTTTATCAGTCGAAATAGGTTTGCTCATGCTGGGAATAGAACCTCGGCATTAACGTTCCGAAATGGAACGGAACAATCCACTGAGCTATTCGGCACCTGGATTCCTCTTCCAGGAATATTAATTTAACATATGATAAAAATTTTAGTTCGAATTTTTTTTGTTATTTTTCCATTTCCTTTCTCCATTAATTTGTAGAATCGAATATGAAAGATTAATTGCCTTTACGCATTTTTATTTATTAATTATGAATGGTGCTATTGCTCATCTGCTAATTGATTTCCTCTAAAAACTCGTTTGGTCCAATAAACCAGCGGAATCAGAAGTGGTGAATGCTTTTAGAAAAAAAAAAAAAATTTAATTTATTATGGAAATTGATAAATTAATTATTTTTATATGATTTTAGCGATGGCAACGGCGACATTTTACGCTTCTTGAGGGTGGTGAACTCAGTTATGCTATCGATGATAATGTTTTAATTTTATCATTCATATTATCAGTAGAAATATATCAATTATTGATTTATTTAGATTCTATTTTAATGATTTTGTTTGACTTTTGGTACATCTATGTTTTCAGAGTCTGCGCCTAGGCGATTTAGGCATTCTTTACGCTAGGCCATAACACTAGAAAGGCCACAATGATTCTGTATAGTTCTAACGCTGAATTTTTTTTTTTTCAACAAGTATACTTTATTATTTATTTGTTTTTAGAGAAGCATAAATTTAATGCATTGTAATTGAAAATTCTTATTTCTAGGCATATTTCTAGTGTTATGGGATAGGCCATAGCAATAGCAATATTTTCGCCTAAGGCAATAAAATTTAACGCCTTATTCCTGTCGTAAATGATATAAATAGAGAAAAAAAATGAAATATTCTGAATCAAGCGTGAGAAAAATTTTCATTTTGAATCTATTTCTTTAAATTTTTTTTTTTTCATTGAATGGTTGAATGGTCAAAAAATAGGCAAAATAAAACAAATAAGGAAAGTATAAGGAAATTTTGTTCAGGAAAAAGCCTTTGATTTAGTAATAAGTTTATTCATTACTGCGAAGATTTATATTGGCAAAAAACATTGTATTGCATAGTATAATTCGCTTTTTTTTTGCAGCCTGAAACAGTTCCACAGGTCGTGATGGATATGAAACGTTGTATTCGAGTTTGTGGTGCAGATGCTATAACTGGTCATTTACATAGCATTTTAATTGCTTTTAAAATAGATAATGATAACGAAACGGATAATCATATACCGATTTGCTATATGAAGGCAGATTCAACCGAAGAAATTCGTTGGTCAATTATTTTTTTTTCTTTAAATGTTAAATTTTTTAAAAATGCAATAATAATTTAGTCTTCTAATTAAGAAATATAAAATTTTTTGGCATTATTTGGCCATATTTGACAATATTTGGTGGTATTATTTTGACTATAAAATTTGGCTAATTTGGCATGTGGCATATTTACATAGATCTTTCCTTATGTTTCAGTATAGAATTCTTCGTTACTCGATTCGATTTCCATTTATTTCCATTAATTCTTTCATTTTCGTTACGAAATCGTTACGAAAAAAAGAGATTAATATGAATGATTTTATTTTCTTGTTTTTTTCTTATAAAAAAAATAAAATTATAAAAGAAATAAGAGAAAAATTATAAGGAAATTTTCCTGTACTAGCAAAAGGCTTTAATAGAAAATTTACAATGGAGTTATAAAAATTTTGATAAGCAAAAAAAAAGAGGAAATAATTATTTCAAACCGGTTTCCGGAAATTTAATTTTTATTTTATTATTCTTTGATATTTATAAAATTTTTCGAGGCAAAAAGCTCCTTGTTTTCATCTTCATCAATTTTTTTTTCCATTAATTTATCATAAATTTTCAAATAAATTTTATTTCTTTGATAATACAAATTTTTTTTTCTTATATTTTCTTTTAAGAATTTAAGAATTCTATTACAATTCTAAAGTTCTATTTTTATCATAATCATTGTCATTATCAGTGATAATCCATAATTCTCTCTTATTCTTCTATTCTTCATTTTTATTCTAAATATTTATATAATATAATATTTTTTTGCAAACAATTCTTATTTTATATTCATTTATTATATCATAATCAAACAGAAAGAAAAAATTTATTTACTTGTGCTTATTATCTCTTTCCATTATCAATCTCTTGTTATCAATATTATCATTATCAGTCTTCATAAGCTTGTCGGTTCAGATAAATTTTTAGAAAGAAGTCATTTAGTCTTCTTCTTTTTCTAGGAGCTTACACCATTGCTGATTAGGCTGGCTCCAACGGCTACAAGGTAAAGGCGCTTTCAAGCGGCGCGGTCAGATACCATCGTTGACAGTAATTGAAGCCATTCCTTTTATTATCATCGTCTAAGTCCCCATATATTGCTGGTCCACCTATGCGTTCAGAATCTTTCCTAATCGTATCAATCCAAGTCTTAATTGACCCACCTCGCTTTTGACGCCATCCATCGCACGGTTTAGTAGGTTACGAAATAAGCGACAACTTTTGTCGTGGATGACGGAGAGCGTGCCCTAACCACAAGGCGACTCTCTATAACATTATTAATACAGGTGAAAGAAGGTGGATGCGATCATGTGATAATTTATCCGCTTGACGGACCTATAAAATATACCTTAAATAAGAGTGTTAAAAGATAGCTTCTTAATATCCTCCACTCTTATTGGCCATGTCTTAGAGCCATATGGCAAGATCGAACGAATCACAGCTATATAGATGCAGATTTTCGTTTTAATGGTAATTTCACGACGACTCCATAAAGGTTTCGTCAACCGAAAGAACGCATTTCTAGCTGCCCTGAATCCGGGCTATAATATCGTCTTTTGCCTGGCCATTTGATTTTAGAATGTAGAAAGTATAAAGTGTTTAAAATCGGGCACTTCCTCGACCGGCAATGAATTTACAAAATGAGGCATTTTATCAGCTTTTTGAACATAAGAGACTTTCGTTTTGTGTACATTGGCCCTGAGTCCTATTCTTGCTGCAGTTTCTGACACGTTCTGACACGTTATTTAGCATTAGTTGCATTTCCTCACAACTGCCAGCAAAAAGGACTACATCATCAGCGTGATCTGTGATATCATGCTCTGGACTGATTTGGATACGCCTTGAGTGCCGACAAGCGATATCCATTACTCAGTCTATCGCATAATTGAATATTATAGGGGAAAGAACCTTGACGGAACCAGTTCTTATTTCGAAGGAGTTCTGTCAGTTCTCCGTATATACAGATATATGCCGACGTAAAATGCCTTTATAAGTCGAATGATGTTCTCTGGAACACCGTTGCCTTCCACCACCCTCCAAAGCGCTTTTCTAACAATTGAATCAAACGCAGCCCTAAAGTCGATGAAACAGGTGATAATGGGTGGCAAATATCTGAAGTCATTCAGTGATGCAAGTTATAGGTGAATTGCCTCTATTATCCAAAAGATAAGTATTGGGAATAGAACCGCAACTTCGGCGCTTCGAAAATCTTTCAATTTTACAATCATTTCATAAAATTTTTTAATTGAAGGAAAATTTGATTTGTTATATTCTTTAAAATAAATTAATGATATGCATTGTCATAAAACTCCTTCTTCTTAGTCTATATTTCGTTCATTGACCTTCTTTTGAAAATTTCATAAATTGGTTCATTTTTGGTGCTATTGCTGAAACCAATATTATTTGTCTTTTTAGTTCCTTTTTGGTACTATAATTAGAACCAACACTATTTGTCTATTTTAAAATTGGTTGGTTCAGTTTTGGTGCTGTTATTAGAACGAATATAATACATCTCTTTTAATAATGAGTTAATTAGAATTTGCTCGAAACGATGCGAAATGTGGCTTTTTAGATTTTATATTTTTCTGTACATAATATTTATATAAGCATTTTTTTATGGCTGCTTATTTTTATTATTTTTTAAGTGGTATGAATTGGAGAATTTATCGTTATCATTTTCAATATTCGTATATTTTAGCGATATGGATAATTAGTGATATGAATTGATATTATCAGCTATCAGCTTTATAAATAAGGTTAATAGGAGAGATTTTCAACGGTTTCGATAGAATTTTTTAATCGAGTCGATAAAAATTAAAAGATCTATTATAGGTGAACAGAAAAATCAAATACTTGTAGTTTTTTTTAAAAAAATTTTCATATAAAAAAAATTCTATGAGGATTGCTATAACAGATTGCCAGCTTTGAAATTTTTTATATATATAGGCTTAGGCTTACGCTTAGGTTTAGGCCTTTTTTAGGTCCATTTTTTTCGAGGGAATCTCGTTGCTTTCAGTATTTCTATTTCTTTTAACCTTCATCTTCCATCATAGTTTTTATGATAAAATTTTAGATTTTTGTAATTTTCGAATATTTATTATAAAGCAATATTGTTATAGGATTAGTGACCTTAATAATTATTGATAAATATTTCTATGAATCAACCCAATTTTATAATGTTTCTATGCTACATTCCATACTAAATCAATGATATATGGCCAATATTTGCCATTATTTGTGGTCAACACAATATCTTTTATCATTACGAAAATTTTCTTCGTTCCTTCTCTAAAGAAATTCGAAATATTAGAATTTATTTCTTTTTCATATAAAACTTTGTTTAAAAAAAAATGATAATTTTATCAATGAAATCTGATAATTGTTTATAATTTTTATCAATAGTATTATCCTTATCGTTATCATTGATATTCAACTTTTTCTTTTTTAACAATTCTCCATTTTAATATTTTTGTCTCAAATTTTTCGCCGATATTTTTCGTGATTAATAATAATAATTATTATTATTGATGAATAAATTTGATTTTTTTAAGAATTAAATCTTTAAAGGTGGCAAAATATTTTGCAAATGTATGCCAAGAAGAATTTGGTGAGTCTAACAAAATCAAACGATTTTAATCCAATAACGACAAGGCAACCGATTAATGAAATATGTGGTGCTACTGTTATACAGGTGTGGTACTTTATTTGCCATACATAGGAGTTTTACTTTAATTGTTATTTTTGATATGGAATATCATGTAAGTTTTTTTCTCATAGCCTGGATTATTAAATTACTTTATGGTAATATCTATTTTTAATGAAAAATAATATTTTGAAAAATATTGGATATTGGAGATTAGTGAAATCTTCAGGTAAATGATACGTCATATCGTGGAAGTGTCGGCTCGTCACGATCGTCATCATGTGAACGTATTCAATCAGATTTATCAGCGGTGACAAGAGTTGATTTGAGTAGTCGACTTACTCAGTTTGAACCTCATCATGGAACTCCAAGAAGTGTAAAATATCGCAATAAGGTTAATAAGTAAGTTTACGAAATGATTCGCAAGAATAATTCCATTGAAATTTTAATTCAATTATTTTTTTAAAATTTTTTATTTTTTATCTTAGCTCTTCTTTTTTTGCACCATTAATTTATATCCTACAGCAAGTATATTTTTCAATAGTTTGCCTCAAAGGTACTATTATTATTATTATTATTATTATTATTATTATTATTATTAATATCATTATTTTTAATTATTATTTATTACCATACTTAACATTATCATTATCATATGAAAAGTAATATCAATTAAATGTACTATATTACAAGGTAGATTTGGCATACAACTTGGATAAACAAATAGGTCTTTTCGTAAATATTGGTTGAAATACAAACAAAAATTTTGAAATTTAAGTGCCCAACAACCACTTTTATTTGTTTGTTTATTATGGATCCAATAAATATTCATCATAAAATTCCGAGTAATTTTAAAAATAATATTTAATAAGTAATAAGTAAATAAAAGTAATAGTAATAGCAAGTAATAATGATATTAAAAAATAAATAATCTTAATTTTATAATTATAAATAAAAATTATAAATAAAAATAAAAGAATGATAGCATTCATATTTCAAACTTCTTTACTATTAAATTTATTTACTGAAGTCATTATATGAATTTTCGCGTAAAACGAGGTTCTTTTAGACTTAAAATCATAACTATACAACATAAATACTTTAACAGATCAAACTTTGACTTCTTTAAAATGGGAGAAATAATTTATGCGGTTGGTGGTTATGAGCATACAATGGTGTGAAATTGTTTTGACTTTCGATGGGCGAAAATGGGAAACCAAAAGGAGATTTAGACTTAGTTAATTCTTCTTTTGAAGATCATCTTTTTTTATTTTAAATTCCTCAAATTTTCCTTATTCCTTTTGTGCGATAAAAAAAAAAGATAACTTATAAGATAAGATAACAACTTATAGAAAAGACGAAAATGCAGATGAGTTTGAATGGTTTCTTTGAAGAGTAAACCTGTTATTAAAAAATCCTATAGCGGCTCGTGTAACATCGCCAAATGATGACAGAAATTTCTAAAATTAAATTTTGGAATAATATATTTAGGAATAATATATTTAGGAAAAAAAAGTCGTCTGATTTTTTTTAGATATTATCAATAGTCAAATATTTTTAAATTGTTATCATTGTTATTCTCGAATTCTTTTAACAATACTCACCATTGCTGGTTAGGTTGAAACTTCGCCGCCTATAAGGCTGAGACGTCTCTAGACCCGACGCCATCGTCGGCAATGATCCTCAGGCTTTATGGTCGCTTTACTATGCGCGGATTATTTATCGCATGTAGCTGGAAATATAATGCACATAGTATAGTGCAGACCGCTATATTATAACGATTTGACTCTTTCGCTATAGAGTTAAATTTAGTTACAGATGGATCCCCAACAGCCATCCGATATGAACTGATTTAATTTAATTGGACCCGAATTTAATTTCAAAATTAAGTTTTTAGTTATTTTCTTATCAACAATTATATTTAAATCGTTTTATTACAATCGATGTGCTGTGGAAGGCATTATGCGACACGGTTTATTGCATTTTTTTCAGTTATCAACTTATCATTATCATTTGATTATCATTTTAATATGAAATGATTTCATTTGCCACTAATTTTGGATTTTATATTATTTTTTTCTAGATTATAGAATTTTTTTGTTAAACTACTTGGATTATTTGTTTAGATTTATTTTTTCCCTTAAAATTTCCTTTGCTTTATATCAATTAAATGAAATTAACCGATGTTATATAAGAATTTTTAGAATTATGACTTTAGGCATTCAGAAATAAGGCATTTTCTTGGTTTTTGCTTAAAATAATAAAATATTGAAAAAGTTTTATTGTTTTCATTAAAATTATTTTAGTTCATTGATTTATTATTTATATTATTTCTAAGAAATATTTAAATAATCTGAAAATATGAACCAATGTGATTCAGTGGATTATTTGTTCTCATTTCGGAAATTCTAATTCGAATCCCAGCAGGATTTATTAAATTTATCTCATAAAAATCAGTTGATGCTGGCGACTTATTTAAACTTCTGTCGCCAGCCAACTGTTTGGCCAAATTTGTCGAATCCAATGGGGCAACAGAGCGAACCTAATCAGGAATGATAAGCATTCTTAGAAATGAAAGAAAAAGAAGTGATATCAGTTTTAAATAAAGGAATAATTTTTCATTCGTTTTAAGTTTGTAAATATTTAGATATTTTCAAGTTTATTTGATCATTTTTAGAATTATTTTTCTAATACTTACAAATTTAAATCAAATATTATGAAATATTATAAAATTTATAAATCGTTTTTAGTATTTTCTAATTATTCGTAAAATTTGAAAATATAATCTATCGTTTCTTTTTTGGGCATAATTTCGACATTCGGAGAGAGATTTAAGGATTAATCTTCAAGTTAATCTTCTTAAGGTAATTGTTATCGTTTGTAAGTTATTTTCAAATTTAACTAATAATTTTTAATATTTTATTTTAAATTCCAAAGAGAAATTTTTCGTTATCCTATTGAATTATCGTTTCATTATGTAATCTTATCAAATTTCCCTTTTTATTTATATCAAAATTATTTTTTTTATTTTAATTATTTTAATATTTTTAATAAAATATTCATTTATTAATATATGAAAAATTGTTGTAAAGAGAGAAAGAAAGAAAGAGAAAATCCGGTCAAATTTTCATGAAAATATTTAATATTTGTTCGAATAACGAGAAATCACTTCTTTGTCTTTTATTTTATGACACTAATCCTTTTATGCATTTCCTTTCCATTTATTCCACTGCGATTTTATATTTATTTTTAAATAATTTTTCTCAGAGATCACTCATCATTTCGATGATTAGCGATCATTCAATTGGCTTATTTGGTCTAAAGAAATTTTATCAGAGATAGGTGATAGAAATACAAGTGGGTCGGTCACTAGTATCACTCGGATTTTTTGGAAAAAATATTTTCTACTTTGAGGAGTAGAACTCCAGCATTGACGCTACGAAATGAGTACAACAATCCATTGAGCTATTCGTGTACTTTTGTAAACACAATAAGTTTATCGGATTTGATATAATTTTAACACAATAGATTATTCTCTATTTTATCATAAAATTTCAACTTTGATTTTTTAATTTTTTAATTTTTTTCATTAATTTATAATTTATAATTTTTTTGTTATTTGTTATTTAAAATTAAATTTTTTTTGATTTTTGATAAAGAAAATTCAAATTCTATAAATTTAGTTGATTTGTTAGCTTATAAGATCGCAAAATTTTTTATTTCTATTTGTTTTATTTTAATTTTTATTTAACAAAAGAATTGGTTATTTGTATTAGTAATAAATAATAGTAATAAATCGTAAATATTAATAATTTTTTTACAGGTTAAAAATTCTTATTATTTTTATTCTTTTATTCTTAAATTATTCTTAAAATTAAAAATCTGATTATTCGAGTGAAATTATTTTATATGTATCATAATTATATAAATAGATTAGGTATTGATAAAATGGCTCAGTGGATTGTTGTTCGAATAGGGCGCCGATGCTGAGGTTCGATCCCCTGGAGTAAACTTATACAAAAATCCGGTTGATACTGGCGGCTCACCTGTATTTTAATCGCCAAGGGACTCCATGGCATATTGCTCAATGTGACAATCCAGTGGAGCGAGTTTAACCAGTAATGAGGACTCAAAAAAAAAATGATATAAATAGCAATTTTCCTCTAATAATCAGCCCTATCATTTCTCATTTAGCTGGCTATATATTATTGTTATTATTGGGATGACAGTTCTTTATCATACAGTCATCTGAAATGGAACCGATAGGTTTTACTGATCAGTTTACCCCTGTTAAGTGGAAAGAGCAAGAACTATTGATGATTGATCTCAGCCAAAACAATATATTGACCATATGACCTTGAATAACTATAGTCTTTTTCCATTGGCCTTCACGATGATTGCATGATCATTTTTTTTATTAATTAATTCTTGATAAAATCATTACCATTACCACAATTAGTTTTGGTTTTATAGTTTTTCACTGTGAATCTTTTCTCTAAATGATAATTATTCACGTATAATGTTGGTGACCATCTGATATAGAAAGGCTATAGTAATTAATTTTAATTAATTTAAAATAATTTTATTTTGACAATAAAATAATTGAATGAAATGTGAAAATCTTAAAAGGAGTGAAAAAGGGGGTGCAAGAAAAGGACCGCCGATCAGTATCGTAATATCGGCATCGTCGCATATTTTGTTCTATATTTTACTCATTCGTTTATCATTTGAGAGCTAAGAATTGCTTGGTACCGAGTTTAGACTAAATTATAACGATAATGATAATAATGAAAACGAATTAAATAAAATTAGAATATTCTCGGCATGATTCAAAGTCCGTTTTCTTTCTATGACTTATCACTAAGAATTATCAATCGCGAAATGATTGAACGAATGAAGTTGAAAATCAGAATAGAGATGGCAAAAACTGGATTAATTAAAATAGAATTTATACGTATCTACTTTTGTCATCCGCTATTAATATATCCGTAATGTGGAAAAAAATTTTTTTACTAATACTGATTACGCTAACTACGTTGATTCCGTTGATAAAGCATATCCAAGCGGTTTAATCCACGAAAAAAAACTTTGTGAATCTCTCTACAATTAACTAAGTTATAATTCTTCATTATTACAATCAACGAAAACCCATCCTTTGTTCTATTTTGTTCTATTTTATTTTTATAAGCTTTTTTAAATCAAGAACTGTTAAATATTTTCGATTTTATCATTAACATATGCTTCTGAATTGTTTTTATCACTCCTACGATAATCTACTTATCCTGTTGTAAGCCTCATTTTTGAATTTTTTGATATTGCTTTCGTTATCTGATTATGAGGTGAATTCATGGATCCTTACTTTCGTCGCTAGTAATGTGCTAGTAGGCTCCAGTATAGATGGAACAATGCTGTAAAAAATACGTGTTACGAGGCAAAGGGTCAAAGGTTGAGAAGATGAGATGTAATCTTCTCTGCTTTTTAAAATTTAAGTTAAATGCAATATAGGATATTGATAGTTTATTTCAGAGAAGCTGAACCGTTACGCAAACAAATGAGTGAACCATTGACGAATACTATCACCGAGGCTCCGCCACCTCTTCCAGAATCTCCATGTCCAATAATATTATCTCGTAAAGTACCACTGACTGTTGTAAGCCTTAATCATATTAATTTTTTTATTACTATTTTTAGAAGGCTATTTTTAGAAAATCGCTTAATCTTTCACTAAAGGAAATGTTCATATTTTAGATCAAATAAAATTTAATATATAATAAATCGATCTAAATTCATGTATTTACAGCCATTCAGTATAGACACATCGAATGTACATACATTAAGAAAAGGATGGTTGATGCTTCGTGGTAAAAATGAATCTGAATGGAATAAACATTGGGTTGTTCTGGCTGGTTTATCACTTAAACTTTACAAGTATTCAACTTTATTATTAGAAAATTTTTCATAAAAATTATTGAATTTTTCTTAAATTTTCTTAAATTTTATGATTATTGATTACGGATCATCGTTATCATTTATCATTTTTTATCATTTAAATTTCAAAATAAATGAATGGAATATTATCAAATATTTAAGAGATGTTTGGGCCGAAGATTCTACTGATCCATTATTAACAATTGATTTAACTGAATGTGAAAATGTATATCCGTCAGCTTCAGCCAAGAATTATGGTATTGAAATTAAGGTATTTTTTGGAAAATTTAAGCTTTAGGTTGTTTTTTTTGTTTTTGAAAAATTCTTTTAAAATTGAAAAAATTCTATTTTTGCGTTTTTTTTTCTCGTTCACATTAACATTAAAGCAGTGATAATAAATAAGGAAAAGGAATGAATTGGAAAATTTCAATCATTGAAGGTCAATACAAGGTCGATCATTCGGCAAAAGTTGCTTTCTCAATTGGCTATAATTTTTAAATTTAGTGTCGTCGAACTCGTTATGTCCTTTCGGCAATGACACCAGGTATCCGTGACAGTTGGATAACTGCACTTCAACAAAACCTACATAATCCATCACCGACATTTGTTGATACTTGTCAGAGTGATGTAGCAAGTTTACCTGATACAGAAATTATCTCATTACCTCCGGTTTGTTATCAGTTTTAATTGGGTTAAAGCTTAATCTTTAATATTCCGGTAGAAATATTATTTGCAAGAAGTATTGAAATTATTTTATAATAAATAAATTTATAACAGTTGCTTATTTTTATCAATTTATCAATTTCTTATCTCGATCAACGACATATTTTTCTTTCATTAGTTTAATAATAAAGGCCTTTTGAAAGGTTGATTATCTTTTCCGATCATTGACTAATGTTTAATTTATTTGATAATTTGCTAGGCAATAGAAAAATTTCTGATAAGGTTTAATAGATAAAATTTAAGTGTTTCAGATGATAAATTATTCGTTTAATCTAATTTATCGTATAATTATAGCGTAAAAAGCATATTGCATACGTTGCACCTGAATCTCATCATTCGAATTCGATGATGGATGAAGATTCATGTAGTGAAGATGAATTAACATCGATTGGCTCCAGAGGATTTCGTCGTTTAAGTGCTTCCGAGAGGTAAATTTTTATTTCACTTAATAGTTCTATTTTTCTAATTTTCTGTATCAGTTTTTTATTCTTAACCTAAACTAACATAAATGAAGAATTTTAAAGGATCTCAAATAGATTTTTATTATTAAAAATTTTTACTATAGAATCAAATATTTTCATGTATTTTTCATTGAAATTTTTGTTAGGTCCTTTGGTTCATCGGATGATGAACCAGAAAATAATGAAGGAAGAAATAGACGCTCATCTCGACGACATCGTACTGAGCGTGAATCGAGTTTATCACCGACCGTACGTCGTTCACCTATCTCGAGAATTAAGGATAAATCAAATATACGTCAAAATTATGCAGCTGTTCGACGGTTAATATTTATATTTATACTTATTTGCTTAAATTTTTCCTTTTTTTTATCCTTTATTATTTATTACTAATATTATTTTAATAAAATTTTAATAAATATTTACATTATTTACTTGTTATATTTATGAAAATATTATTGATTTGAATAAAATTAATTAATAGTTTACTGTATATTAAAAGAAGAAATATTTATTATATTTATAATATATTTATAATTGTATATTTATTATATTTATTATAATTATAATATATTTATATTGTATAATTATGATATATTTCTATATTATAATTATCATAAGTGAATAATATTCATAATTGCTGGTTAGATTTTCTGTGCTTAGATTAAACAAAGGTTTACAAAGGTCAATTTGCTATTAACCAAGATTACCCATAAGTTTTACAAAGTAGAAAATTTATTCCCGATGGGAATAGAATCTTATTAAATATACTCCAAAATGGCAACAACCATCCATTTGTTCTAATATAATTATTATATTATACATAAAAGTTATCGGTTTTTCTCCAAACAACACAAATTTTTCACGCTTTCTTTCTTTCTTTCTTTTTTTGCTGGCTTTGGCTTAATAAAAGAATTTATTACGAGACTAGTTTTATAAATTATATATTGGATTGAGTTTCTAGTTACGGATCGAATTCCTCACTATCCTCAACAGCTATACAAACAGTTCCCGTAAAACATCGAACTACATCTGTAAGTAATTTCTTATCGAAATTCTCATTTACCGTTTTCGTTTTTTTTTTTTAAGTTGTTATTTACTTAAGGAATTTATTCGTTTTTATGTAGAAAATTTTTTTAAAAATATTTTCTATTTCACTTTTTTTTTTATTTTTTTATGATTTCAATTTGATTATCCATTTTTTTAGCCATTATAAATCATTAATTTTTTTTTGTTTTAGTCCAAAATTTTATTTTTTTGAATTTTTTTTTCTTTAAAATTTGAATTTTTTAAAATATTTTTTAATAATTTTAATTTACTTATTAATACTTATTAATATTTCCTTATTACTGCCATAGAGTGAATTTTTTTTATTTTTTTCTTATGAAATAAATTAAGTAGAATGGTTCAGTGGGTTGTTGCGCTCACTTTGGATGTTAAAATTCTACTGGTGTATGGTCAAAAAGTTAAATGGTCTAAACGGTTCGTCTACAGTTGGCATACTATAATGTACCAGATGACTTATTAATAGGTGCTTGGTGCAATTAGGTGCCAACGGAACGATCCTAGCCAGAAATATTAAGCGCTTTTCGAAAAAATTCAAGAATATATACATCAAAAGGAAAAAAATCCATTATATTTGGTGCATTTAATCATAGATATTTTTTTATTAGTTATTGTTTTTTAGTACTATATTTTAATAATATAATATATTTTAATAATTTAATAATATATATTTTTATTTATTTTAATATTTATTTTAATAATTTTTAATCTTTATCTTTTGTTTTCTTTATTTTATTTTATGCTTTCTTCGAAGTACTTCATCATATTCGTTATGTAAATAAATAATAGATAACACATAGGTGAGATTAATAAAAAACTAGAAATTCTTTTAGATTTTTTATTATTTTGAGAATAAAATGAAATAAGATTTTTAATAAAAATAAGTAATTTATTAATTAATTAATAATTAATAAATAATAATAAATATTAATAAATAAAAGCAATAATTTATTTAAAGAAATTTTTCATTGTTAAAATATTTCAATTTTATTTTTTCGTTTTTTTTTTTAGTTCTAAATCATTTCTATTTTCTTCTTTCTTGTTCGATTCTTGTTCCACTAATTTGTCGAACTATTTATTATGGAATCGATTTGACGATAGAGATTAGTTACTAGCATTATTAGCAATTTTTGAAAGAAAGATTTACACTTGCGAGGATTAGAACTCCAATATCGATGTCTCGCAATGAGAACACTTTCGCACTGCGCCATAATCTACCGTACTTATAATTTTTTTTGATTATTTTGATTAAAAAAAAATTGAGGAAAAATTTTTACGATTATTTACGATAGGCACACTGCACATCTGTTATTTGATGTTCGAACGAAATAATTTCAGTTGTTCAGTATTTTTTACGATTTTCTGCGATTTTCTGAGATTTATTCAACTTTTTTGTAAAAAATTAGTAAAGTTTATATTTACAAAAAATATGAATAAGCGATGCAATATTGTTTTATTAATTTTTTTCATAAACAATTCATTCGAGAAATTTGAACCTCCAATTTTTGTCTTTTTTTTTGTAGAATCAAAAGTATATTTAGTTAAATAATTTTAAACGAAAATAGTTTCGAAATTTTCATTTTTTTTTTCCTTTTCTTTGCGATATTCTTCTATTTGAAAAATTATAATAATTTAACTATTTTCTTAAATTCTTAAATATTTTTGATTTCTTGAATAATCATTTTCATACAATCATAGAATGACTGATAAGCTGGTGATTATATTGCATTATCTTATCATATCACAATCATTATCATAAGTCTATTGGATTTTGAATTGGATTTCTCGAACACATTTAATACATTTCTAATATTTCATAATAATACATTAATAATCTTATCTATCAGATTAGGCGTTATATCATTGCTTATTATTGAAATGAGGCTATTGTTTTACCAAAATTATAAGACAGGATTTCGTTGTAAGGAAATAGATTCGTAGTCGTTTATAGGATTATATATCTTTCAATAGAATAATCGAAGCGAAAAATTCTTCTTTTCTTTCCAATTATTTCATTCATTAGATTTTATTCAGCTATGCTAAAATTTTCATTATTTTATTTGCTTTCTACCATTATTATCGAGATTTTTGAAAATTTTTTAAAAAAGTAATAAAAATTTTGAAAAAAAAAATTTTAACAATTGTTATTAGTTTGTTTGTTTAAACTCTAAAAGCTTGATAGAAATATTATTTATTTTAATTATTTTAGCGAAATTCTCTTCGTGAAGCAAGTCCATCGCAACAAGAAATGAGACTTAGATCGTTGGAATCACAGGTAAATTTTTCCTTTAAACTTTTTTTATCATATCATTATCATTATCATTATCATAAGTTCGTTGCTGGGTTGTTTGAGCTTATATGGCTTATTTTTATTTCGATAAATATGTTATGCAAGATTCTACTGTAAATATATATATATATAAATATTTAAATTTTAGGCTATATAATATTATTATAGCTTGAATACTATTTGTTATATAGAATAATTTAGGAAGTTCCATTCTTCCTGAAAAGTATTCAATTAATAAAGGTAAAAATGTTATAAATGCTAACTTGCACTCGAAATATTAAACTAGTAAATTTTTTTACAAATAAATGCTTATAAAATGTGACCAATGGCTTAAAGACATCTTATAATCCGTTACTAGATTCATGTGTTTTTTATTTCTTATTTTTTTTTATTAGATCTGTTTGATTGTTATTTTTACCTACTTTTGTGATTTTAACAGATTAATTTTATTAGCAGATTTTTCTACATTCTCTATTATTCGTTTTATTTCCATTGCTAAGAGAGATCGAATAGAGAGTGGTACTCACCGTTTCTGAACAAATTTTCCACACCAATTGCTAGTATAAGCTATTTTTTATTAAAAAAAATCACTTGGCTATACAAAAATTGATCATTGAAACAATCCATAATCGTTTTTTTAAATCGTTTGAACTATCCCTATATTTCGAATTTATCGTAGTGATTGATTTAGTCATACGATTTGTCGTCATACGATTGAGTTTTCGTGTTTTTCAATGTCTTCGCTTATTGAATATTAATGAACGCGTATATAGGGGGTATTATGCAAATTAAAAGTTAGTTATCAGCCGATTGAATAGACGAGTTTATCGAACTCGAACTCTATCGATGACAATTAATATTTGAACAGTTGCTTTAATCAAAATCATATCATAATTGAGAATTATTTTTATTGATCGTTAAAATATTTTATTACCCAACAATAATAATTTTGTTCATTTTTAATTTTTTTTAATTATTTGATTTATTTATAAAAATTTGAAATTATAAGCTAATTTTTTTTTCATATACAGTGGGCTAGCTTAACCGAATTGATTATTGCATCTTTTATAAGAGCGTAGAAATATTAGTTTATTTTAAGCATTGAGCGAAAATCTTGATAATGTTATCACTTCATTCGTATTTTTATCGTGAACTGATTGATTAACTGGCATAAATTTTATGTGAGGCACGTAGTGTTAGTTTATAGTATTAAATTTTTTTTTTAATTCATACAAATTTAGAATTATTTTTAGCTTGTAAAATTTTATACTGAATATTATCAACATTTTTCATGCAGATCATATCATATCATATCGAGAAAAAAATCTTATTTTTTAAAATTTAAATAATAAAATTCTTTTGTTTTTTGCTTATGTTAATATTAATGTTTTTTGATAATTGTTAAACTTTATCAGTGATTTATCAACGATACGAATATAAAATTTGAATTTAAATTCAACGAAAACTATTCAACTAATCTATTTTTAATCATACAAATTACGGTATTTTTGTTAACATTTATTGTTAATCGTTTAACTCGGATAACATATTATTTTCTATTTACACGAAGGTCATCAATACAAAGTTTTTTTTTTTTATAATCTAAAAAAAAATTTTCTTATTCAAATTGCTGCCATTTTGTCTGATGGATTTTTCGTTATATTTCAACTGAAATTTCAACCGCTATTTTGATATTTCTGAAAAATGCATTGTCAATGTATATTTCATTATATCTATCCGAAATTTTGTAAGCGTATTGCTTTCGAGGTATTTTTTATTAAAAAATATCTGCAGAAAAAAATATTTATTTTTGCTTTTTCATCTATAATTTGACCTTATGACCCTGAGAAATTACAGTAGTCCTAGTACCACTGTTATAGTTTTTTAATTATTGTATGCAAAAAACGCGATCGGTCATGAACATAAACTGATAATGATTGTCATACATAGATGTGCATCTTGTAATGATTTCTCAGATGATTGTAGGCCCATCAGTGCCTTTTATAGGTCTTTAATTAAGAACTATTAATTTTATTCGAAAATTTATGAATAATAAAGTATGGTGCTAAATAGAATCAATATATTTTATAAATTATTATTATCATAATTATAATTATTGATTAATTATTTATTAATCAGTAAGAATAAAAATATGTAAAAAATATAATAATAATATTAATAATACTAATAATTATACTAGTAATAAAAAGAGTGATAATAATGATAATGATTTAAGGTGCAAAGTCTACGCGATCAATTACGCGATACTACGTCAAGGCTTGGTGAAACTCGTACGGAGAATGAGCGCCTACGATGCTTATTTATGAGTAGCGATGTAGGTTATTTTCATTTCTTGTTATCAAAATTAAATTCCTTTTATTATCTTTACGTATATCTACGAATATTTTTATTGTTTATTATTATCGAATCTCTTGACGTTCATCGTCCTAAATTTTTGCAATATTTTATCATTTACATTCTCTTCTTATTTTATCTTATCATTTAATTTATCTTTTAGCTCTACCTTTATCTTTTATCATTCGTTTATCATTATTAATTTTCGTTTCATTTAGTTTTGCTATAAAATTATAGCATTTGGCATATTTTTTATGCGTAAAAAAATGAGTATCGTTACAATAAATTTCATTTTTATGTTTAATTTCTTATTTTCTTTTTTTTTTATATTTCTTATTTCTTATTTTTTAGTAGCGAAAAATTGGAATCATATGGTTAAAATTAATTTTTTAAAAAGTAAAAAATTTCATTTTCTGCTCTCTCTTTAGTTAAAAATTTTAGGCTTATTAGCCAAAATTTTTTGGAAAATATTCCAGTTTCTAAAATTTCATTCCAATTCATTAAAAATTAGAACTATAGCCAAGGATATTTTGATTTCGATTGTTTATCAGAAAAACTCTACTGAAGTCGAAGTTGTTGTAGAATACGAAGCAGCTAACATTATTGCTTCAATTTTTTAAAATCTGTAATTGATATGTTTTATGATATTTAAATAATTCATCTTAGCCTGAGGCTTATAGGTTTTCATCATCGGCCAAAAAATTAAATCTTTATTTGTTATTTTCTAAAAATCATAGGCCAATTTTACAATTTTATTACTATTACTATTTTATTATTTTTACTCTTTTCTGTTGTTATAAGCTGCAAACTAATTGAATTGTCGTCAGATTATCGTCTCGAAGGATTTTTCTCCATTTAAAATAATTCAAATTTATCATTTAAAAATCTGGAAATTGCTAACGAGTTTATAATAAATAAATCCATCTTTTTCCTTTCTTCTTTTCTTTCTTTTACTTTACTTTTACTTTACGATTCCTTTTTTCTATTCCTTCTAACAACTAATGAAACCATCCTAAGAAAACAAGCGCAATATTTTATGGACGAGAAATTCAGCAAATTCGTTTTGTTTTCTAAATCCTCTAAATATTCTAAAAATCCTATAAATAGAATGGAATAGTTATCAGTGCTAGATATTTTCCGACTCATATTATAGATAAAGTCCTATCAGTTATCAGTAAAACGATTTCTATTATTCCAATTGTCAAAGTTAATGCGGTTTGTCTTATAACAAATAATTTTCTATTGTTATCCAATTGAATTTATATTCATTCAACGAGTAAAGAATTCTTTCTCAAAGAGATTTGACGAAATTCAGTGAAATTTATTGTTTAGCCATTTCAGCCATTTTAGCTATGTCATAAATTTTTTCTACTCCGATTTCAGACTACTTTTTGTTATATGGTATCTCGTTTGTCTGCTATAAACTATAGTGTCAAAAAAAAACAAAAATATTCCTTTGACTTTAAAAAAGGCAAAACAATGGATATATCTTGGGATTTTGTTGATTCGGTCAAGAAAATCTATACTATAATTTCATGATTCGTCAAATTTGTCAAATTTACCAAATTCGTCAATAAAATAAAATTTATTAGTGGAAAAAAAACTGATTATCAATTATCAATTAGAATAACTCAAAAGAATTTGGCATTCCGGAGATTTTTACATCTTATCTAAAGCCATTTTCATTTTTTAGTAGAGAAGGAAATTTTCACTTTGAATTTTTATAAATTTAATTTAATTTAATTTTTAAATTTTATTTTATTTTAACTAAATTCATTTAAATTGTTTTATGAAATCTTTATAGAGTTTCAATATATTATTTTATAATGAAACCTTCAATTTCGATTGTACGAGTACTCGATCATTGAGATTTTTCGTAGGGTTTGGCTTTGATCGAATAGGCAAAGTTTTCACTTCATTCATGACATTTGGTTGAAATGTCCTTCAAAAAAGATTTTAGTTCAAAACCACCTTTATTATGAGAATTAAGCGAATTTCGTGCCATTTCTTAATTTATATATATTTATACGGAAGATTTATTTTCGAAAATTTCATTATTCTAAAATTTTTTCATTAATATAACCATTATTTTGTTATAGTTAATAAAAAATTTATAAAATTTATTATAGAAAATAAAAGCGCTTAGCCTAAGGCTTTTATTTTCCAATACGAATAAACCTATTTCAAAATCCGCATACAAATAATTTAAATCTGTTTTATATGATATTTCAAAAATAAAATTTATATTTTGAGTTTAATGATAATAATGATATAAGTGAGATAAGATTTTGATTTGTAGGCGCAAGGATTGTCACAACTTCGAAAAAGTTTATCCGCTGCGGAACAAGATGTAATTAGAAGGCAAGAAGAAATGGAAACTTTAAGACAACAACTAGCCACTCCAACTATAGAAGTCGAAACTAGTGGTAATTGGTATGGTTTTTTTTTTTTGTCTATTTATGGTACTTTTGTCTATTTATGGTGATCTATATAGAGCCAAATATATATAAAGATTTCTTATTATAGTTTATTGAAATTATTATTAAATATTTTCTTTAATAATTTTTTTTTTATTATTTATATTTATTTTTTATTTTTATTGATAAAAAAAAATTTAGTCCAAAACAACTTTCTGATCGACTAATATCATTGCTGAAAATACAAGTGGGTGCATTATCAAAATTTGTACATAGTCGTACTGGTGATATAAAATTAGTACATTTACGTAATCTAACCGATGCACTCATTTGTACCGTTGCTCATCTCGATGCATCGTGTCAACCTATAAATCTAAACGCGATTAGTGATGCGTTAGATCAAGTTCTTACCGCATATCAAAAGGTTCTATTTTATATTATTTCATATAAAATTTTTTTAAATTTTTTACGAATAATTTAGAATAATTTGAAAATAAATTTCTCGGATATTTTTATTTTTTGCAAAATTTGACAACTAAAATCGGAAAATAGCAATATTTATTGCATAAGCAATACCATTGAGAGAGAGAAAGATAGAGAAAGTTGAATAATTCAAATTGGTTGCTATTATCATTTTGGAGTGGTGCACATTAGAGTCAATGGTGCACGGTAGAACCATTGGTGCACATTAAAGTCAATGGTGCACGGTAGAACCATTGGTGCGCATTAGAGTCAATTCAGATGATCCTCAGCATATACTTCTAGCCAAATGAACTCTCTAGCAAAATTTAGTCTGATAAAAAGCGAGAATCTAATCAGAAATGATGAGCGGATAATCGATTTTAAAATATTCTTATGGTTCAATAAAGGTTCAATATTATTTCATCGAATTCAACCGTGTTGGGTCATTTTTTTTTTTCAGTTGAATGATTTTCTGAATAGAAAAATTCCTGATACAATTGACCGTGAAATTAATACGGTAAAATTATTGGATTTTTTTAACAATTATAAACATTTTTTTTTGAATTTATAATTGATAGTTTCTGAATTTAATGGATTCTGTCGAATGAGAATTCTGATAATCGTGATAAAAGCCTATTAGTGATAAAAATCTCGTATAGTACTTGTACTTTTAATTTTTTACAAATAAATTTTAAAGTTTTAAATTTACGATTTCGATTTTGATATGCGATATTTATTTATAATAGGCACTATTATAATATAGGTGAATGATTTTTTTTCATAGGAAAGACCCATAATTACAGCAAAATAATGAATGATTGTCTAGCCAGAATGAACTTATAAAATGGATCGCCTCAAGGTCATATTGCTCTTTTAATGGATATATCACGCTAAAAAAGCAAAATGAATTTAGAGTTTGAAAAATTCTTTTAAAAAAATTCTTTCTCGTTTTTTATAGGATTTTGTTAATATCACAAGGCAAAGCGTTTGTGATCCTGTCAGGAGTGATAGTACAATTGAGAATGAAATTCAAGAAATTAAGGTTTTTTTATGGATTTTTAATTGGATTATATATGTGATAAGTAATTATCAATAAATTTTGAGAATCATATTTAATAAAACCTATCGATAGATTAAAGCCTTTTGAGCCTTTCCATCCGTAATAGAAGTAAAACTTGTCTTTCCCGGGCAGTTCTGGTGACACAAAATGACTCATTATGCTATTTTCCTTATTTACGCATATAGATCAGATTTGAATTTTTATTTGAATAAATACTTAATAATTTCAATAAATAATAAGAAATATAGAAATATTTAAATATTTAAATATCTAAATATTTAAATATAGAAATATTTATATTTAAAATTTCGATAATTAATCCACCCAGCTAACACTCAAATTTCGGAAAATCTGTTTTTCTAGCAATTGTCACCACTGATAATTTGGTTTATTCCACTGACGAATAGATCGAACCTTCCTCAACCTTTTGATATCATTCCTGTAAGCAACTTTTTCCACCCTATTTATTGCTGAGTAGAGTATGCATTTTATATTTCCCCTAATAGTATTATTTCAGGTCAAATAAGAAATTAGAAAATTTTGGTCATTTTTTTGGTTATTAAAATTATTTTAAATATAGATTTTAATTAATATAGATCGCGCATAAAAAGGAAATAGAATCGCTAAGGCATCAATACGAGCGACAAGTGAAAATTCTTCGCGAGCGAATAGAATATGAAGAAATGAGAAGGAAGAAGGCTGTGGAGGATCTTCAAACTTTAAATGTAATCCTTCCATTTCTTTTATTTAATTAATGCATTTTTTTTTATAAGTATACAAGTGCCACTTCGAAAATTCTTTTTTTTTTCAAAAATATTTAAATTTTTTTGCAGAAAATTTCAATATTCATTTTTACAGGCAATGAATGACCATTCATTAACGGCTTTGAAGCGAACTCAAGAGGAAATTCTCGCCGAACAACGTCAAAATTTCGAGGAACAAATTGCTATGTTAAAAGAAGAGCATTCAGCGGAATTGAATGAAGAAAAAGAAGCGACCAGGTGAATTCTTAGTTAGTCGAGTTCAATCCCTCTGAACTTCATATTATATAAAATTTTAGTTCATAAGTGAAAATAATAGATTTATGCGAACTTATTGCTATATTTCAGATTGGCATTAGATGCGGTACAGCGTTCTCATGAAGTCGAAGTAAAGAATATGGCTGAGAAATTGCGAAATTTAGGTGCAGCACTAGCAACGTACCAGGCGAGTACATCTACTGAGCAACGTTATGAAGCTCAGGCTACAAGGCATAGGTAGCAAAAGAACTTTTTTTAAGATTTTACTCTTATATTAATATAAATTAATTTATATTAATATAAATTATATTAAAGTAGAATGAATCAGTGGGTTGTTACTCATTTTTCGGAGCATCGATGCTGAGATTTTACTTCCTGCAAGAGTAAATCTTCCAAAAATCCGCTACTGATGCTAGCAATTCATCTATACTTCTATCGTTAAAGGATTCTCTGGCATATTTGTCTTGTACGACAAGCCAGAAGGATAAGTTTAACCAGTAATAGTGAGGGCTCTCTAAAAAAAATAATATTAATTAATTTCAAAAATATAAATTTTGAATTTTCTCTAAAAATTTCAGCCGTATGTTAGAACAAATGAGCGCAGAATTGGCACAATTATCGGCTTTATATTCAGCAAAATGTCTTGAAAATTCTCAACTTGATGAGAAGATGGCATTATTGTTGGCCGATAAGGAGAATCATTCATTATTAAGGTTAATCTCTTCTTTTCATACCATATTTTTTGTTAAATCCTCAAATAAGACCTTACAATTTTTTCTTTCATCTTATATATTTTTTAGAAGAAAAATTTTATTTTTAAAAGTTGGATTTATAATTTTAATAAATTCATTAAAGACCTATTATAATAATCAAATTCTTATCAAATGTAGTGATCAGCAAAAATCTGATAAATGACTTCTTTGATCATGAATTAGGCTTTCGTAGACTAAATATAAATTATTTTGTTATTATTATTTTTTTTGTAAAACAATAATGAGAATTATATATTTTGAAATAATTATAATTTATTTTTTTATTAATATAATGATTATAATTAATTTCTTTTTTTTCAGTGATATGGAAGTACAAAATCATGGACTTCATCAAGAACTACGAAAAAAAGACTCAATTATCGACGAATTGCGGCAAAGGATTCAAGTGCTTGAAAATCAAATTGCAGAATTGAATAAAAATTATGAAAAGGAAAAAACCAAAGGTATTTTTTCATTAGGTTTACTTAAATTTATCGGCCTTTCAAAAGAAGGCTAAACTGAATTTGTGGTTTTGAATTCTTATCGAATAAAGCCTCTTTTCATAATTTCTAATTATCCGTTTGCTAGAAATTTTCGAAGATTCAATGAGAGAGAAAGAGAGGAGAGTTTCAAAGCTGAGAGCAAAATTTGTGATGCTCGTTTTTTATAAGGGAAGTTTTAGCTCAATTATAGGATAAGCAGCAATGAGGCGATTTTCTGTAGAACTATTCTATGCTATGCAATATCGAATATTAATAGATCATTTAGAGTTGAACTCATAATTAAGTTGATTTTTCTATTTTATTGTGCATTTCGATGATAAAGAAAGGAGAAAATTTGCCCAAATTTGTAAGGAAAATATTTAAGATTATAATTTAAGCAACGAAAATAAATTTTTTATATTGCAGAAATTGCATCAGAGCGAAATCGGTAAGCATTATTGTGTGTATTTGAATATTTATGCTATATTTATTTGAATGGTTTAGCTGTTCAATTATTGTGTTTTTCTGTTTTTTTTGGGCTATAAAATACCTGTGGTACTTGAAATTGTAGATATTTCTATTCGATTGTTTAAGAAGAGAAAAAAAAAAAGTTTAAAACCTTTTCTATGCAATATGCAATGAATCCATTCTTTAAATATTCTTAAATATATAAAACAAAAAGTAATATTATGAAAGAATATTATTACATGGAATTCTGTAATTTATATTTGTGATAAATTCATAGGTACTTCTAATATATTATGTCTAGATGAACCCGCAATTCGCCACCTTTCTTCGTAATTCAAGGAAATTTCACCGAAAGAAAGAGATCCATGTTTCAAAATCCCGTATCTATGGATTTTAAAGAGAGTACTTGGATTAATATTTTATGACAAACTGTTGAAATTTTCAAATAAACTAAAATTTTCCACTAGTTCCAAATTTTATAGCTTTAAATAATTTATAATTCTTTTAATAGTTTGCACCATTACTGCTTAGGCCGACTGTACTAATTGCAAGGGATGCCCGATGCCATCCTTATATTAAAAAACCACTTATTTTTCGATCGTCTAATTCCTTATGTCCCTACCAGGCTGCTTATATGATCAGAATCTCTTCAGGTTACAATCTATAATTCCTGCCAGGTTTTTTTTATCAAAAGCCTATCGAAAGCTTATCACTTTCTTATAGTTTTGTATGTTTTCTAAATTTTAAGGATTTTATTAATGACTAAAGGTATTTTATTGCCCAAAAACTGAAAAAAATTCGTTTTAATGAATTAATTCTGATACTTTTACAGCCGAAATAATTTCCTTTTTTTTTTAAAAAAAACAAAGAACAATCTGTTTCCAAATTTTCTTTTCTTTTTTTATAAATTTATAAATTTTGGACAAATTTAGAAAGAAGAAAACAGAAAAAGAAAGATTGGAACGGGTTGATTCGTATGCTTTGAGCTGTTTTATAATTTTAGATGCTAAAAAAAAATTTTTTTGATCTGAATGCTTATCAGCTATGAATTTATATATTCATATACCAATGCGTGCTTTTCCTTAACCAGCACATCTTTTTCTTAATTTTTTGATTTTTTATCAGATTTTATCAGATTTTAATAGAAGAGATTTGATTACTTAGATGATTAGCGAATTAACAGTAGTGAAAAGATTCGCCTAAAGAGAAGAAATAATTTTATGCGGAATAAAACCAGAAGTTTGATTTAAAAAATAATAAAAATATTTTGAGCCTTTTGTCCCAATGAAATAAATATATTACTTAGCCATAAAGGCTATGATGGCCTTAAATAAGTATGAATATTGTCGGATTAGTTCAAAAAATTCTCATTTCTTATTTTTGTGTTTCGTCTAGGAAGCACTAATTTTTTTAGCTTTCCTCATTTTTCGCATTTTTCAATAATTTAGCAAATTGTCTTTTGCTCTAAATCCATCGCATTGCTTCAAGGCTCAAAATATATATTTATTTATTTATTTCTTTCATAGTTCCATTAGTCAATTTTAAAAAAGACAGCGAAAATATTTAAACATAGGCAGCACGTTCGTGTTATCTCATTTTTTAATTTTTTTCTCTATTTGAAGATGGAATGGAACTTAGTGGAGATAATTATCTCTCTGAGGAATGTAAATTTTTAAATATTTATGCATTTGCAGAGTTCCATCTAAACAACGGTCAATCAGTAGAGTTAGCGGATATACCACCGACGGCGATCGTTCGATCACCATCGCCTCATCAGCTAGAGAATTTCCACACCGCGACACAACTGCTACCACCTCTCGCTATGATTCCACCAGTCGTGCAAAATCCAGTCAACCAGAATCACGGCGTACGATTGCGGAGAGTGCATCCTTTACATAAGGTCGTCTCTCGACGTAATGGTAATCAAAGCTTTGTTAAAGCAAGGCTTAAGAATAAATGCAAACTTACCGTATGCGTTGGTAAAAAAAAAAGCCTATCCTGTGAAAAGGCAAAGTAAAGGCATTTTCAGATTCTTCCATATCTTTTCATTTTTCCTCAAGATCCGTTCTCTTTTAGTTCCTTAACAACCCTTCCAATTCTAATGCAACCGATAAATCTTCCGATATTTCCTCCACATCGGTTCCGATTCTATCATTTGTAATTTTATTTGCAATTTCGGCCTGCGGCCATGGCAAAAATATAAGATTTGGGTGGGAATGCATAAAGAAGGGAAGGGCTACAAACTGGACGTGAAATGTTGTTATTGATGATTTATGGCAAAGGGATGGGTGAGGTGCTCGGTAGCGATATTTAGCAAAATGTACGAAGGAAATTTTTGTAATGATTACATTACGGGTCGAGATTTTGCAGGTATTTGACCGATCTGAAAGGGTAAAATAGATTTTAGAGAAAATATTAGTTTGTAAAATAGAGCGTAATATAAAGTACTATAACAAGAGGACAATACAATATAGACTAAGTAGATTAGAGTAGATTATGAAGGTATTACTACAGTTGATGCCCATTGATAGAGTATTAAAGAAGATTGGAGGGATTTCGTGGGAACAGTGATTAGGTTTTCAAGAACGTTGATATCTCAAAGATCTAATTCAAGTCACCGATAAACCATATGCACCTTATATATATATATATAAGCAACACGCCATACGCACCGCTGTAGCAATTATGTGTATTTAATGGTCAATGGTCAATCTTATAAGGATAGATAATTCTCTATTTAGGAAAATTGAAAGACTATGGATTGAATGGATTCTTGGGCATTTATGACCTTATCACTGGGCTATCAGCTTTATTGATAGGAGTCTGCTGATATATTGATTATAAAATACATTGATTATAAAACTGAAATTTTAATGATTTAATGCTTTATCAAAGGGCAAGCTGTGCACAATCTTATCCATTGAGATTAAAACGGCCGATAAAAATAAAATCCCAGTGGTCCAGAGTGATAATCTATTCCCAGGAAATCCCCAGAAAAAAAAATTGTTAGATGTCGCTCTTTTTTTATTCTCTATTATTTCCCCATTCATATCACAACAGAAAATTTAAACTAAATAATGCGTAGTGAATGAATGATTGTATTTTCCTCATTTATTATAGAATATTTCTAGAATATATCTCAATTTTAGATACTCGCTTCCACAGCAATCCAGTGATACCAGTATCAGAATCCTTATCCGAAGCGATTCGTAAATCTGTATTTGTTCCTGTTAGTGAACGCCGAAGGTTTTTTGAAACGATCGCTGAATATAGTCATCCATTTTGATGCTTTTTTTTTCCTCTTTGTTGTTTCGATTTGTATAATTTATTACTACAATTATTTTTACTCGTCTTTCTGTTAAATAATAATCATCGCACTACTAAAAATATGAATTTATTAAAAAATCAAAAATTTGAAATATTTAAAAATTAGGACCAATTAGGACCAATGGCAAATTAAAATCCCACTAAATGAATCATAGAAATCACAATATTCTTTTTAAAAAATATTTATATTTAAATTATATTATTGATAGAATTTTAACTAGTAATTTTTAAACTATAATTATAAACCTAATGTAATCTATTTTGAAATATTACATTCTTAAGCAAATTTACTTATAATAGAATGTAAAATATAAAATGAACAAATTACTAAATTATTTTGGCGAAAGGTAAGAGGTATTAAATAATTGAGATGCACGCCAAAGACCAGTTTTTTTAATGAAAAAAAATATAAGATCTTTTAAGAATTATTCTAAGGAAGACACGACAAAGCTTAATAATGACAAAACAAGAAGATTTAAATATTTATAAAATGGGAAAAAGAATGGAAAATGACAAGCAAATCAATTTATAGACTAAATTATTAAAAATTACTAAAAATTGCAAAAAAAAAAAATGACCCAGAACCACTGAAAAATTAAATACGATAAGATAAAAATTAAATACGAAAAATTTGCTCTAAAAAAATGGTACAAAAGAAATATAACATCTATATAAATATAAAAATAAAACTATTATTTAATAAAATTTAACCGGGAATCAGATCCGTTGAGATAATGCAAAAAATAAAGACTACGCGAGATTTTTTTTTGAACCAAATATTTTTTGAATATATATCAAATATATTACAAAAAGGAATCTAAAAAAAATTACCATGCCATAGAAATTTCAATAAAACCATGACGATCGTTTAAACGATGAGTGTATAAATCTTAGAGCACCCTATCAAAAAATACTAGTATTTTCTATAAAAAAAAAACAGAATGAAAGGCACTAATAAAATGGCTAAGAAAAAATATTTTAATTTCAATACCTACTTTAGAATTAGAAAAAAATTAAATCGATCAAATTTATGATATAAGTTTGTTTTATCATTATACCGTCCCTCATTTACGTGATGTTGCAATCTTCTTCATATAATTCAGTGCTGAACCTGCTTGAAACCATTTAATTTGCAATTCATTAAATGAATGATTTAACCAAATCTCATCTGTTTTACCATTTGGATGCTTCAGCAAGCATTTCACTGCCTGAAAATTAAAGTTTAAAATATAATAAAAATTCTGAAAAAGAATAAAATTGAAATAAAGAGATGAATAAGAAATAATTAAATAAGAAAATGGCGAAAAATAAAAAACTTAATGACTTTGCCAGGTGCCAAATTCTTTAAACCAAGGAGGGACACTCGATCACTTGGTTTAACTTTATCGTAATCAGATGGATCAGTGAATGTTAGCGGAAGTAGACCTTGTTTTTTGAGATTTGTTTCTAAACATTACGAATGATAAAAATTTGAAGAATTCAAATAATAATATTGCGCAGAATAAAAATCACAAATATTTAATATTTTTAGTGAAATGTTTAAAAAATTTTTAATAACATTTTATATAATATTTAAATAATATTCAATCTATTGAATATTTTACCATGTATCCGAGCAAAACTCTTGACAATAATTGCACGCCCACCCAAGTGGCGAGGTTCCAGTGCAGCATGTTCACGTGAAGAACCCTCACCGTAATTATCATCTCCAATAGCAACCCAAGGAACTCCTTTACTTTTATAATATCGAGCAGTATCAGGTACACCACCAAGCTGTTGGGTCAAATGATTTCGCACCTAATAATAATCGTAAATTAGCCTCAAAAATAATTTTCTAATTTGTGATTCATTATGCAATTTTTAATGAAAAGAGAAAAAAATACCATATTTTTATCTTATGTTCCTTATGATCTGTTGCTCTTACCTTATTCATTTCACCATTTTCTGCATTTATTGCAGTGAGGAAAAGATTATTTGAAATATTGTCAAGATGTCCACGAAATTTCAACCATGGCCCAGCAGCACTAATATGATCAGTTGTGCATTTTCCTTTAACCTTAAAATAACCACGATAAAACAAATAAATCAAAGAAAAACCTAAGGAAAATTCTTCTTTCGGTATAATTCGGTACATATATATATATATATAAGAATGACTGATGAATCGCCAGCATCACCCTGATTTCAGGTTTACTCCTGCGGAGAATCGAACCTCAGCATCGGCGTTCTCAATCGAGGTATAATATTTATTCAGACTGGAAATTATGTTACTTATTACTTACAATCTACCTTAATTGTTATAATGTTATAAAAACCTTTATAAGAATAACAAGATCCTCTAAATCTTTTCCATCCCATTCGTCGAAGGGCTTAAGAAGTTGCAATCTTTGACTTTTTTCATCAACAACAACTTCGCCCTGACCTGAAGGTGATTGGTAAAGTTGTTCTCCATGATCGTATCCACAAGAAGGCAAATCTTCACCACTAGGTGCATTGAGTTTGAATTTGGAACCTTGAAAAAAAACTGAACTTATGAAATAATCAAAGGAAAATTTTCACAGCAAATAAGAAATGTAACAAAAGTAATAATATTATATAATATTAATAATAATATAATAATAATATAACAATAATACCAAAGAAATAGAAAAAGGATTTTAAAAAAATTATTTGATTTTTAATATATTAAATAGAAATTATCATGACCCAAAAGAATTTAATAAATATAAATGTAAATTAAATATAAATAATTATATGTTAATATATTAAATATAAATAAATATAAATATAATATAAATTTATATCAAAATATACCATCGGCAGTTGTTAACTCATCATGCTGTGGATCAAAATCCAAGCGACCAGCCAATGATAATGCAGTAACTATCTCTGGTGAAGCAACAAAAGCATGCGTAGCAGGATTTGCGTCATTTCGACCCGTGAAATTACGATTGTACGATGTTACAATAGTATTTTTTTCACCCTGTAAAAAGAATTTTATGCAATTTTCGTAATACCCTTTGGCAGTTTGAAACACTTTCAGAACACATATTTAGGAATCTGTCAAAAACTGCAATAATTTTTACTTTTTTTACATCTCTTCGATCCCACTGTCCAATGCAGGGACCACAGGCATTTGCCAAAATAGTACCTCCAAAATCTTTGAATATCTTCGTAATACCATCACGTTCTATTGTTGCTCGAATCTGTTCACTACCAGGTGTGACGAAAAATAATGATTTAGACTTTAAGCCTTTCTCGAGAGCCTGAAAGTATGGTAGAATATGGTAGAAAAAATAAATCCAGTAAATCAGTATAAATCACGAGAAAAATATTTAGAAATATTATTGTAATTCACTTACATAAGTATTTGGAACTGCAAAAAAAATTAATGGAAGAACATGCAATAACATGAAGTCTATTTCAGTGAAAATAAAAATTAAATTAAAGTTAAAAATTAAAATAATCCAATCTTTAAAAATTATTCTTTGGGATAAATAACTATATAAAATTTTTTTAAAATATAATCTAACCTGTTTTGCAATACTTGCAGCACGAGTCATATCTTCATATGAACTATTCGTACATGATCCAATAAGTCCAGCTTTAATTTCGACAGGCCATCCACGAGATTTAGCAGTCTCACCGATTTTATCAATCGTCGTTGCTAAATCGGGAGTAAAAGGACCATTTATATGAGGAACTAATTTATTCAGGTCGATTTCAAGCATCTGGAAATCATAAAATATTTATAAGATTTGGAAAACAACTAGGATAGCTTAACAAAAATTTCCATTAATTTCATCTAAATACAAGATTTTTTTAGCTTTTTTTTAGCTAAGTATTCATAAATAAATTTTCTTGATTATTGCATTAAAATTTCTGACCATTCAGCTGCTTTTATCTAAATTATATTGAAATATATGAAAATGAGTTTATGAAAATCCAAGAAAAAATCTATCATACACTATCATATTCCGCACCAGCATCTGCTGTTAAAATTTCTTTATATTTCATGGCTTCTTCAGCGATTCTCTCACGACCAGTTGCTTTCAAATATTTCACCATATTGTCGTTAAAAGGAAATACTGATGTAGTAGCACCAATTTCTGCACCCATATTACAAATAGTCCCCATCCCTGTTGCAGAGATCGAATCAACTCCAGGTCCTAAACATAGAAAAATTCATGTTATCCTCATAATACAATTGCAAATGTTCAGTTCTTTTAAAATGAGAGAATATTGTGAAATGACGTTAATTCATATTAACACAATATGACATTAAAATAATTGTCCATTATAACCACACCATGATATTCCACAATCGCTCCTGTACCACCTTTTACAGTTAAAAGGTCTGCAACTTTTAAAATAATATCTTTAGCAGATGTCCATCCTGACATTTTGCCTGTTAATTTTACACCAATCACCTAAAATATAAATAAATAAATGTATGATTCGGATAATTCCGAGCATCCATATCCGTTTTGTTGTTGAATTGTTTTAAAACCATAAATATTTATGAAATTGCCTACAAGAATAAGCCATTTTTGTTAAAGAAAAGAAATTTTGATTCCAAATCATTAATCTTTACCTTGGGACATTTTAGTTCCCATGGGATATCTGCCATAACATCCACAGCATCTGCCCCACCAACGCCAATACATAAGCCTCCCAATCCACCTACAACAATAAAGCTGATTCAAGAATTCATCAAAATGAATTCATGAATTTACAAATTAAAACAATGAAATAATAAAGCAATAATTAGAAACTAAGGAAGATATGCATTAAGGAAGATATTTTCATACCTCCATTCGGTGTGTGACTATCAGTTCCAATCAATAATAAACCAGGAAAAGCATAATTTTCTAAAATGATCTGATGTATAATGCCGCTTCCTGGTTTCCAAAATCCAACACCATATTTATTTCCTGCTGTCGAAAGAAAATCGTATACCTTTAAAAATATAAACTTTAAAGTATTCCAACAATAAATATAAAACATATCGATGAAGCTTATTATAAAATATAATCCACATAGGCTAATTTTCTTTACATATACCTATTAATAAATTATCGTAATAAAAAACAGAATGCTACTGACGGAATCATGGATTACCTCACTGTTAATATCTCTGGCTCTTGAAAGATCTATACTATCTCCTTTCTGTGCTTCGATCAAATGATCACAATGAATTGTCGAAGGAACAGCAACACGAGGTAAGCCTGAAGAAATAAACTGCAACATAGCCATCTGAAAAACATCTTTAAATACATTTTGATTTCATGTCTTAACAAATATCAAGATAATTTTATACATATTAAAAATTAAATTTTTTCAAAGATGAAAAAATTTTTTAGGAAAAAATAAAAAAGTGAAGGTTTAGATATAAAAAAATGACAACCTGAGCTGTGGCATCTTGCATAGCGACTCGATCCGGTCGTAATCGCAAATAACTAATTCCTCGTTTAATATCTTGAGATTCTGGAGCGTCCAAATGCCCATACAAAATCTTCTCCGATAATGTAAGTGGTCGCACCAACCTTCAAAATGCTTCGAGAAATAGAATAAAGAATAGAATAGAAATAAATAGAATAGAATAAAGAAGAATTAAAAAATTAAAAAATTAATCAGTTTTGAATGTTTAACAATGAACGTTCAGATTTTAATCAATATGAAAATAAGATAAGTGGAAAAATCAAATGGAAAAATGGAAAAATACGAGAAAAATCAACGAATTACTGAATACTAAACACTAAAAACTAAAATTCAAATATAATAAAGTGCACATAAAAAATAAATATTGTTAAAATATTAAAATAAATGAATTGGAGAAACTAAAAAAACTATCTATAATTGATAATTGATAAAAAAATTTTTCCAATTTCTTTCGGACAATAAATATTCCTTTTTAAAATGCCAAAAAAATCTCGATCTCTTATGATTTTGATTTTGATTTGATGTTGCTAATAATCATTATTGATTATTTTTTTGACATGCTTTTTATCATATCATTTAATTGCGCACCTAATAACTTCAACTTTTCTAGCTCCTTAAATAAGTGAGGTCAATTTATTAGAATATATAAAAAATTAAATAAATAAACTACATAAATCGAAGGATTATTCGATGTTCTCGATCGGATAATATCCATTAGATATTGCTTAAAAATGTGTAACCTCTTTAGCAATACCTATAGGTCTGGTTTATAAAGATAAAGATAACTCGCATGCTGATCTCATAAACCATCTCATTCCAGCCTTTAATTATAGGTAAAAAAATTTAATTATAGGTTCAACAAGGTACCATGCGGTGCTAAATACTAAAGACGTTCATTTGACCTTATATAATTTAATGTCTAATTTCTATTACATGGTTCTCACTAAAAAAAAAATTCACTACTAAATAGATTTTAATAATTAATAAGATTGAGCGTTATTAACAGTTCGAAATCAGGTTATTTCTATTTTGTGTTCTCTAAAGCTTCTGACATAGTTCATATCGAAAAATACTGGTATTCACCAATAAAGTGGCTACTACTGGTAATCCATTCAATTTCTGGCTATATAAATGGTCATTTTCATTAAAGACTTTTAGTTACTGGTTTATAAAGAATGTTCCTCAAAATGCTGTATTGGTCCCTTGTTATTTGTTATTTATTATGCATAGCATTACCAATAGCTGATTTCCGATTTCGTTTTATTTAAGGCTAAACATTTTCGAAAAAGCATTTCGCTGTTCTGTCGATTTCGCTACTTTGTCGGTAAAAGTTAGGATATTATTGCTCATTTACCGCATTTCTCACGTAATATATTAATAAAATAAAAAAATCAATCTGCAAGAAAACCTATATAAGGACAGAATGGCTCAATGGATTGTTGTACAAATGGCAACGCCGATGCTCAGATTCGATTCCCCGCAGGAGAGGACCATACAAAAATCCGGGTGATGCTGGCAACTCACCTGTATTTCTATCTGCCAAGGGACTACCTGGCATATTGCTCAATTGCGACAAGCCAGTGGAACGAGTCTGACCAGTAATGGTGAGGAATTTTCAAAAAATATATAAGGAAAATTATCTATAAGGAACTGCAAAATTTTGCATATTAACTCAAAATCCTCTAATCTATTAGTTCTCTCTTATGTTTTAATACTACTAAAATTCTGGCTTGATTAAATTTTCTCCTTGATTTTAATCTATATCTAAATAGATGAGTTAAACGATATTCAAAAGATTTTAAACCATATAATTAGAAATTTTCAAATTAGATTCGAAACCTTCCTTATAAATACTTATAAGATTTTCATTAGACCAAATAAAGAATATAAAGAGAACAAAAGAACAGATCACCTAGAATTTATATTTCTATTAAATTAATCGAGGCCATAACTGAATTCTTTAAGAAGAAGAAAAATTAAGGTTTTAAGGTTTTAATTATAAGTATAATAATTATAATAATTATAAGCACTATAAGTGTTAGAATTGAAGCTGCGTCATTAACCCCATTTTTTTTGTAAAATAAAATTGACGTAACAATTTTTTCATTCGTAATTATTGGCGTAAGCATCTGGATGCAACTTTTATAATTTCTAACTTTAAAACTAAATTTTTTTTCTGTTTTTTCCCATTCTTTTATATTTTCTTTTATATTTTGAACAAAAATTTCAAAAGCTGTTGTTATTCTTAATAGCTTCGGGTAATAAATTTTTTAAAATGAAAAATGAAAAAATAAACAAAAATACTTAAAAAATAACAAATAAAACAATAATTTAATATTTCTCACTTTTTCTTAACAAGAGCAATATTTTCAACTAATTTTTTATAAGGCAAATAATGGTCCTTTTCAAATTTACTGATTGCGACATTCGAATATCGAAAAGAACTCGTACAGAATAGCCGATTTCGTTTATTTAAATAAATTAATGAAAAACGATCGAAACGCAACTGGACCATCGCTTATTGATCTGTAAAATATGAATTTTAAAAATGTTTTTTTCGTAAAAAATAAGCCAACGAATGAAACTGCGATTTTTCCGACTTGAAAGAGGAAAAAAATGAAATGATAACGCTAATTTTTTTAATTTTAAAAATTAACTAAAAAATATTATATTATCTAAAAAATATAAAATTATCTATAAATATAAAAATATAAAAATAAATATAAAGTTATCTAAAGAAGGAAAATTTCATAAAAAATATTTTTCCTGAAATTACTAAAACTGCCCGAAAAAATATGCAAAAAATGAAAGAAATAAATGCAACAAATTCCACTTAAAAAATTGTCTAACTTCACTTAACTAGTGGTCAATTCATATCGTTGCTAATGCGCATAATTTTTCCTATTTTATTTATATTTTCAAGAAACAGAAAAGCAAATATGAAAAAAAAAAATTAATCGGATGGTGAAATCAAAAAAGAAGCATTTCGGGACTCAAAAAAAAATATTATGTATCTATGAAATATGGCAGCGATAACTGACAATAGGAATAGGAAATACCGCCCCAATGAAGAGAAAAGTTAAAATTATTAGAAAAATATAGGAGAAAAATGAAGTTTTCCAGATTTTCAGACGCTTCGACATGCCCGAAGTTTAATGCATTTCGCATTTAAATTCAATCAAATCGAACCGTTGCGCGAAATATTTCGATCTGAATAATTTGAATGAATAAAATAAATTTTACAATTATTTAAATTTTAAACCATTAGAACTGGCTTTTTACTATTTCCGTTTTATTTTACAAGACAAAAAATCTAATCAATGGATTGGTATTCGCGACAGTTCGTTATTCACTTACCTAAAATGATGCTATAAAGCAAGATTACAATCCGAAAATTTGAAAGTTATCTTAATTAATTAACCACAGTTTTTTTAACGAAATAGATTAGTAATGCTTGTAAGATAGATTATTATAGAACTATTCTAACGTTTAAACTTGCGTCAATAGAAAAAGAAAAAATTTATTAGTATGATTTTTCTAAATCCATAAGCGGACCAACGATATATGGACTTAGACGACGGAAAAAGGAAGTTTTAATTTCTATCAATCGGATCGGACAACTTAGGGACGTCTAATTAGCGGTACAAGCCTAATAACCACTAATGGTGATAGTTGTTAGAAGAATGATCTTATTTGCATAAAATTTAATGAAATGTTAAATTTTTCGAAAAATCGCTTCTAAATCGTTTCAAATTTATAGGAAAGAAAATTTTTTTATATTAATATTTTCAATAATTATAATTGAATTTTAAATTTTAAATAAATAAAATTTCATGAAAATTTAAAAAATCGAACAAAAAGTAATTCACCGCTGAAATAGCTCAAAATAAATTCAGACAAATTACTAAATTAATTATTAATTAATTTAATTAAAATAATATCTATTTAAATAAATAAAAATCGAAATCAAGCAAATCAAACTCTTCATATTAGATATCCACTGACGAAATTATACGGTTTCATTACAATCGTTTTAGGACCCAAAATTTATGAAATGTGCAATCTATTGTTATTGATTAGTGATAATCAATCTTTATGTATCTCCGTTTTCCTTCCCTAATTGATTCTCTGGAATGGATTTTTTTTGTTTGTAAATGAAACGCTTAATCAATTACTATGAATGATTTAATTGAAATTTAAATTATAGAAGTTTTTTTTTAAACGATAAATCTAGAAAACGACAAATAAATGATTTGTTAGGGAAAGGAAGAATGCGAGTGGTGCTGGTGATCCATCTGTGGCTCGCCAAATGATTCCCCTCGTAAAATTTGCATTGTTCGATAAGTTAGCTAAGTTAACTTAACTAGGACTGACAAAAGCCTAGCCGGAATTCTATTAGAAAAAAATAGAAGGGAATTCAATTGAAAAATTTCGTGGTTAGAAAAATTTATCAACAAACACCACAATAAAATAGAGTATATTTTATTAATATATGTATAATAATACAGATAGAATGGCTCAGTGGGTTGTTGCTCAATTCGGAGCGCTGATAATGATTCCAGATTCCTGGCACGAAAATTCAGGTGATGCTGGTGATTCATCTGTATTTCTATCGTTCCTGGCATATTTGTCCAATGCGACAAGCCAGCGGAACGAGTTTAACCAACAATGGTGAGGATTCTTTAAAAAGAAAATTGACTTATACTAAATAACCATTCACAGCCGTTATGAATGGTGCATACACCTCAAACTCAAGAGAGCTGAAGGAACACAAGACTAAACCTCAAGGAACCATAAGGAACACAAAATGACTTTAATATAATAAAATGAATATAAGTATTCCATATAAAATAATTAAGAAATTAAATTGAATTATTAATAATTTTTCTTAAAGTATTAGATGAAGAAATTTTTTTTCTTGAAATATTCAACATTTCTGGCTGAGCTTCACTTTTGGCTTCAATAGAATAGAAGTATAGGTTTCGCCTTTGGGGCCTCACAATAGAAATACAATGAATCGCTAGCATAGTCCGAATTTTAAAAGATAAATTTGACGGATTGTTGCCCGAAAATAGAACACTAACAGTGATGGTTTAACAGTGATGAATGGAATGATTTCAGATTTAATGAATTTATATGAGTCGTTTTTGTCTTTTTTATAAGAATTTTAAAGAATATATAAGAATCTTTACATATAAATTGAATTGACTTATAATCACGTGAAAATATTTTTAAAAAAATAGAAAAATATAAAAAATTCTGAAAAATCAAAAATTTATTCAGTAAACATTGGTGAAATTTTTGAATGTATAGAAGACATTTGATTGTTATTACATATGAATTTAGCGATAGAAATTAAGAAGCAATTTTTTTTAAAGTTTTTTACATAATTATAAAAAAATTTCTCACCACGTGTGAAGCAAATTTTAGAAGATGGAAAAAGGAATAGCTTAAGGAATAGCTTCTATTACTGTCGACGATGGCGTAAGACCGCGTTGTTTGGAAGCGTCTTACCTTTGTAACCAGTGAAGCCAGCCTAAACAACAATGGTGAGAGCTGTTAGAAGAGGAAAAAGTGGGTGATAAGAATCTTTCTTAACCCTGTGTCCTTCACCAAAGGCCTAGGAGATTGAGAGTTCTGCGCGATATCATAGCTATATTAAATTTTTTTTTTGCCATTCGTCGTTCTTCTCGTTAAACTCGTTCCACTAGTTGTTAATGGATATACTAATTATGTGAGCAGGCATACGTTTTTATTAAAGAGTTAACTGAAGATAGAAGTAGGACCTCTCTAATCACCACTTGGGATAAGGATGAAGAGTCGAACTATGATGTGCTCAAATCTATTTTGAGCCTATTACTTCATTGAAATCCATGTTTTACTTTTTAACTCTTTATTTCATAAGTGATTTCGAGGGAAAAATTTGTTTTAGAAAAAAAATTTTGATTTTCTGAATATCGAGAAAATATTGCTTCAAAATTTTTTTAGTGAGAATAGGCGATCTTTTACATGATAATTTGTTTTAGATCATTCTCTATGAAAATCATTGGTATTCATGGTTATCACTTTTTAATTTTTTCAAAATATTTTTATCAGTAACTGATAAGCGAGATGGTAGTCAAAAATTTCCCCTAAAAGTCAAAAAGTCAAAAATTTCCCCTAAAAATGAAAAAGCAATCTATTTATTTTCTCTATTTATCCCTGTATTTTATTATATTTTAATGCTTATTTGTCATTTTCATATTTACAAACAGTTCATTAAGATAATAGTGGATCTCATTTAACCCAAATATTCATCAAATTAGTCGAACAAATCCATATTAGTTCATCAAACTCGATCTCCAAAATCTTCTTTATTTTTAATCAACCAGTGCAAATTCTTTAAATGTAGGTCTTCAAACAGGTATTTTAAATGGTATTTATTGATTTAAAAATTGTAAAAAAATATTAATAACTTTTCAATTCATTTATAATTTTATAATTATTATTTAATTGATATTTTAATTTTTATTAAATTTTTTGAATTCCAAATCAAAAAATATAAAAATATTTACCTTTTATGAGATTATAGTTCATTCATATTTAAACTATTAATCGAATAAACAATTTTTTTTTAAATAAAAAAATTTATAAAAAAGAGAAAAATTTTAGTAATGAAATTTTAGTAGCAAAAATTTAATCTATTTTAAGAATAATTTTGAATAAATTATTGGATAATTATTGGATTAAATTATTGGATAAATTTAAGTTGTATTTCTTCTGCAAGAAAAAATTTAAAAATCTTTTAATATATTGAAAATAAAACCAACAAAACTATAATTACAAGCAAAAATAATAGAAATGATAAGATATCAAAATTTATCAAAAATCAAAATTATCAAAATTATATTTGAAAAAATATGATGAATAAAACTCATCTTGATTGGCGTTCAACAATTATTTTCTGATTTTACATCGATCATCATAAACGTCAAATAGAAACATTTTTCAATGATAAAAAAATTCTTATTTTGATTACAAGTTAAAATGATAATCAAAATTGATTATCAAGATCGATTGCCGTAAAATATTTGCGGAAAATGAGATTTTGTGCACATTAATATGATTTCAAGAATCAGGAATATTTTCATATCCCAGAAAAATTATTTAGTGAAAAAATCCTAATGACCAATGTAGCAGGCCAAGCCAAAAACAATAAAGCTCTTAGAGAGAAATTATATGCTAATTAGTGAAATTTGCGAAAAATTAGAGTAAATAAGAAAGAATTCAAGAAAATTCTTAAAAAAATAATCCAAATTATTTGGATAAAATATTTCATTATTATTATTATCACATAGACGATTTTATTCAAATAATGTATGATGATAAAGATCAACTTTAATGATAAGCAATAAAGCATATTTTTTTTATTCATTTTCTGATAATGGTACTTGAACGATTATTGAATGAAATTTAGAAAATTTGATTAGCTAACTTGACTTAAATTTGAAATTCAATTAAATTTGAGCATTTAAAAAATTTGCAAAATAAGATGGTTTTTTTTTTTAAAATAAAATAATTAAAATCGAACTTTGCTCTAATATAGTTATCAATAAAAATTCAAATATTTTTGATAATTGAACGATAAAAAAAAGTGAAATTCGAGGCGAAAAACTTTAAATATTCAAAATGGCTCAATAGATTGTTGCACTCATTTTAGAATGTCAATGCTAAGGTTCCAATCTCGAATTAGAGCGAATTTGCCTTTCGGAAATTTCGGTGGTACTATCGACCCATCGATACTTTTATTACCAAATAATTTCTTGGTAAATTTCATTTGCTTCGACAAATTTTTAGACAGCAGTTCCAGAAATAATGAGAAATAATGAAAAAAAAAATCAAATATACAATTAATAATAGGAATAATAAATGTCAATGTGAACATAAATAATTTAAATGAATTATGAGATTCACAGATAAAAATTTAAGCAAAAATATCAAAAATCTACGAATTTAAATTATAAGGCAGTTCAAAGAATAAAAATTTATATATATAAATATATAAAATATATAAACAAAAATTTAATAAAAATTATTTCATTCGTTCATTTCGTTAAATTTTTTAATATAAATAAAAATTTCGTTCATCAGACGAATAATTTGAGCAAATTGAAGATGGCGATAAGAAATATATAAATCATCGTTGGCGATATACTACAATTACCTGCAAAATAAAAATTTTCAATCTGATAAGAATAGCTGATTACATTACTAATTAACTGATAACTGAACAAGCTTTACGAAAATTGTAAAAAATATACGTTGAGAAGGACTCGCCGATGATTGTTGTTGTAGTTTATCAGCAACTGAAAAGTTCAATTTTATTGAATTTTTGAATTTTTATTAACATTTGAAATTTCAAAATCAAATGTAACAAAAAAAAAATTTAATAAAATTTAATAAAATTTAAATTTTATGGTTGAAAATTTAAATTTTACTATAATGGTTGAAAAGCATGCAAAACTTTTAAGCTTATAAGAATGCTATAAAGAAATAAGTAAATTCAAAATAGTAAGTAAGCAAGCAAATGAACCCGAAACTTTGCTGCTACTTTACTAATGATTATTTTAAAGTTGAACTGAATAAAAAAAAAATCATTTGTTAAGATTTGTTAAGATTTTTCCATCAAACTTATGTATAATATAATATAATATAAATTCCCAAAGATTTAAGTAAGCATTAATAAATTCATTGGAACCCAATAAAACTAAAATTATGGAATTATTAAAGAAAAATAAATAAATCCGAACTGCATGCCTTATTCAGTTGAAAAATACATAGATGCTGGTTGAAGAAGAGGAATAAATGAGAGTCAAAAGGAAGAATGGAAGATTTAGTTCGGATAATGGTTCACAGATTAACCCAATTCATGCCTTAGGAGCTAAACTGCTAGAAGTAGAGAGAGAGATCGTTGTTTCCATTTAATGATTCTTATCTCTTGACGGAAGTAAATATATCATTCTATCATTATAAAAATAAATCGCTTGTGGTGCTGAGGATCATTCATTCTCGACGAAATGATTTTCGAGCAAAAGTCATCTTCATGACCCTCGATGCAATCAGCAACCTATTCTCTTCAGGAGCTCTATCTGAGAAGTACTTTATTTCCTCCACAATGATATATTTATTTGAATTAAATTTCAGTAATAGACCCTCAATCTTTTGAACATCTGAGTCAAACAATGAATGATGCAGAGGGAATCTTGGTTGCTTCCATTCGACCCATTTTAAGCCTATAGAAGTTTTTGTAAAAGTCACCATCCTCGTAAAATATTCTCGTAATTCTCGTAAAATACTGCATGAATCACCTTTTTCAGCCTGTGAATGATCCACATGATTTCCCATAAAATTTCCATAAGAATTTGATCTCTCATATTTTTTTAAATCGGAATCCTCGACGTTCTCATATTCGCCGTCATCATCACTATCACTATCATCATCACGATCAACATCGTCATGACCTGAACCTATAATGTCTCCAGTCTTAAAAATAAATCGTAGTTGTAAAATTTTTAGACTTTTCAATCTCAAATACTTTTCTAGTATTTTTCTTTTGAAGAGACAATAATAAGAGATTCGTTTAAAAATTTTAAAGAAAATTCACGAGTTGATGCTATAAGATGCTTGAAATACAATTATATTTCAAAGTTAAATTTTTTAATCTTATTTTTAATTTTTTTCTAATTTTTTCATTCCTTTTGACTCTCTCTTGCTTACTTTCAGAATATTCGCATTAAAAGTAATGCTGTAAAAGTAATGAAAAAAATTAGTGTTCATTATCATTATCATTCAGTACAATAACAACGAAAATAATTCCCCATTGCAATTTGTGCGGATGAAATGAAAATCAAGCAAAATTTCACGAATACATTCATTTAATTAAATTATAAGTTTCATGAAAAATTTACAAACCATATCGAATCACCACTAATAGGCTAATTAACAAGAAAAAAAAAAGAAAGAATATAAAAATATAAGAAAGAAAGAATATTCTTGCTCAGTGTTGATCCATAAAAAGTGCAAGCCACAAGAATGTGCATTATCATATTTAGTAAATGTTCATATTATCATAATTATCATTATGATAATTGTTCCAATTATCATCTCAAAATAATAAAACCGCTATAATGAAAGAATTAGTCATTTGTCTGTAAAAATTTGGCAAATTCTATTGAAAACTAATATTTTGGAAGAAAACTTCGAATTTTTACTAAATTTACCATTTCTGTCTCTTTTTGAAAGATTTTGAAAGCTTAATTTAACATACCTTCGGCAATTAATGGTGATCTTTGAAAATTCGAAATATCTTCTGAAAAAAATATAAAAATTAAATTTATAAATTTATAAATTTTTATATAAAAATATAAAAAATAAAAGTTTTTGGTACTAAGCAAATATTTACTTAATAAAGAATAAAATTTCGCCAATTCAAAATTTGATAATTTGATAAAAGCATAAAACGAATCACGAATCAAATCACGACTCATGGTACTAGGTCCGAATGTTAACGAATCAGCTATGATTTAGAAGTTTTCGTTTAAGTTAATTTCTTTTATTATTTCAATTTTTATCTTTTCCTCCTTTTATCTCTTTATTTTCGATAGGAGTAAACCTGCTAGGCACCCACCGCATGAATTGAGGCATATTTCGTTATTTGCTAAACCCTGCGATGAATAGCGTCAAAAGCAAGCTAGGCCAATCAAAAGCTGGATTAATAATAGTTGAGAAAAGATTATGAAAGCATAAGTGGACCAGCGGTGAAAGAAAGAATGACTTCTATCACAGAGATGGTAACGGATCGAACAGCTTTAGAAACCCAGCCTAAGGTATGGTGAGAACTGTTAGAAGAAGAATTGTACAAGCAAGTAAGTTTCATTAAGTCTTGGACGATGGAAAAGGAATGGAAATGGATTTTATTGTTGTCAGCAATGGCTGAACAGTTTGGAGATTTTTCTTATTCTTGTAGCCAACGCAGTCAGCCCAACTAGTGTAAGTATATGATGGGAATCCCGATCAAAATAGCTCACGAATAGGCCATAATGGCCTATTCTTATATATGTTGTAGCCAAGAAAAAATTATTTATTATCTCATTTTTTAGCCGTCGGAAATATCTCAAAGGCACCAGTGAAAACCGAACCTTTCAATGTGATTTCAGCGAAATGCATTCCATTATCATTCACCGCAATACATTTATATACACCAAATTCATGTACACTTATATCTTTTATCGTTAAAATATGAGTACTCCGATATTTCTCCCATATTTGCTGTGTCTAAAAAAATTTTTATCAAATATTAAAGTCAAATTTTACAATCAATGAACTCCTTAAAAATAGTTTACAGTTTAATAAAATAGTAAAGATTTAGCGAAATAGTAAAAAATGGAAATATGCACCTCGGAAATTATTGAAAAAAATATTTCCCTTAAAGGTGCAAATTGATATGAGAATTGCTTAAGATCAATTTTGCAAAAGTGCATATAGATTTTTTTAAAGAAAATATCGATAATGACGATAAAAACTCTACATTTCCATACTGCAAATAAGTCATATTTAGCTGGCTCACTTACTTGGGTGGCTCCATTAACCGTCATACTGAGCCAAAGATACGCTTAGAAGTGGACAACCAAGTTTTGAATTTATCCATTTTTTATTATATTACTATATTATAATAATTATATTAAGAAAAAAAATGTTATTAGGCAAATTTACATTAATATTTTAATATTTTAAAATTATTTCTCCTACCATTGCATATTTATTTGAGTCAAAAATTTCATTTCCATCTTTTTGCCACGTTAATAATGGCCTTGGCCAAGCTTCAACGTTGCAAACGATATTTGCTTGGCTGCCAGCTGCAGCTACGACAAGTTTAGACTGAGGCACCACAGTTGGTTCAACTGAAACTTCGTTTACTTATTACTTCTATCCTATTTGATTATTAAGAATAATTTATGTTATAAATTAGTCATATCTACCGAAAGTCCAATATAATTAAAGCTTTTTTCTATTTTTCATTAATTGGCGTTGATGTACTAAGTAAACTGAAACGAAGTCATCGAGCCGAAAATAAAATCATTTTAATTATCATCAATTAAATGACAAATCAATCAATCTATATAGAAATGTGCAAAGTTGGTTCATGGAAAAGTATCAAAAGTATATTTATTTATTAGTTTCATTAAGCTGCTTAATGCTCATGGTTTAGATTTTGTTTGATGCTATATATGAAAAATATCAATAGTATATTTATAATTTGACAAGTGATAAATGCATGAACTAACTTAGACGCTATCTTATAATTTTTTATTAATAGATCGTTTTATAACTCGTTAAATGGTGAAGGAAATGGTGAAAGGTGATTTAACGAATTTTTTTTTTTTTTTAGCAAAACCATCAATTAGAATTAAAAATAATTGCAAATTTTTTTAAAGATTTTTAACTCTTAGCAAAGGATATTTTATATAATTTTTTGAATTTTAGAAATAATAAAATATTTAATGAAACAAACATGTGACATGTAGCTTAACTGTCCAGGATTCATCCGGTGGTATTCCATTGCTAGCAACACAAACATATTCACTCATATGTTTACGACTTACTTTAGTTATAACCAAATCTGAACCATTATAAACACTTGCTGCAATTTTAAAAGATCTTAGAATAAAATATAATAAGGCATCAAAAATGAATTAGCATTTGAAATTAAAAAATTAAAAGATCCATTTATTATTATTTAAAATCACCTCCATAACCAGTTGCACCATTAAAGCGTATAATTTGTCTATCCTGTCGGCGCCATACTACTGTTGGTGGTGGATTGCCAAATGCACGACAAGAAAGAGTGACATTATGACCTTCGCGAACTTCAACTGCAGAAGCCGTTGTTCTAGCAACATATGGAGGAACTGAAATGATTTAAAAAAATTATCAATGTTTCGATAATCATTTTTTCTTAAATTAATTTGTAATTCTCATTCTTGTTCACCATTTATTATCGTAAATATCACTGCAGTCTGGTGAATTAGAGAGAGATTTTTTCAATAGCAAACACCAGGTTATTCGAGTTTTAATGAAAGTAGACGATAGTAAAGAACCATACACCACTTAGGAAGAAAAAATAAATAAAATTTCAATACCATAATTTCATCTTAAAATTACATTAAGAATGTAAATATTAAACGAAATTAGAGATTCTCGAGTACATAATATCAGTGAACCCATCAAGAGGCGAAAATTTTTCTAATGAACGTGGAGTGCTTGGTAGTACCATATTGCAAAATTTAACAGTTTTATAGTCCATTATGGATAATAACAATAATCTTAAGTTACAATCATAAATCTAAAAATGAAATGAGTGTGAACATTCAAATACTTGACTAGTCGGAAATTCCCATTCCTCAAATCGTCCATTATCCATGAATCCACTTTTTGCTTATGTTTGATAAACCCTTATTTATTTATTTAAAGCTATTAAAGCTATTATTCGAGTTATAATGAATTTAGCACAAGCCGACTTCATCTATTATTATTAATAATAAAATATCACAGGTGGCATTTTCACACCTGCTTTTCATGATTATAAAATAATTACAAGTAAAGAACCCGCTTAGAGCCTATTTAGAAAAACAGCAAATAATAGATGAAGTTAGAGGTCAACGACCTTTCAAGCTGATTATGTAATATCGTCAATTAGCGATATTTAATTCATTTTTCTTTTGAACCCCGACTAAGCTAAAATGAATAAATATTAGGGCAATTCATAATCTAATAAATAAGACATATTTTTGAACTACTTACTTCCAAATTAAAATTCTTAACACTTCTATATTTTTATTATTACTATTATTGTTATTACTATTATTATTATTACTATATTATTGTTATTATTATTATTGTTATCATTTTTGTAATTAATATCATTATTAATATAATGAATTATTACTATTATTATCAACACTATTATTATTGCTATTATTGTTATTATCATTATTATTCTTATCACTGTTATTATTGTTATCATTATCATTGTTATTATAATTGTTATTATAGAGTAACACCTGTTTCGAGTATACGTTTTATATTAGATCGACACAGTCATAGTTCCACTAAATTTATTTGAATTGAAAATTACACTCGTGAGAAAACAAATTAGATCGAAGCTGACGGCTCATAAATTAAGTAAACATAAAAGCATATAGGTCTATCATTAAGTTATCATGTCTCAGACTGAATCTTAAAAATCCATTTATAAATTTTACTTCACATAACTCAGGCACGTCAATACATATTATCTTCAATTAACACGCTAAATTAGGAGAATAAAAAAGACTAAAATAAAACTTAGCTAATGGTTAGTATAGCATTATACATTAGTGCTCATCAAAATATTATAAAATCCTCCTTGCATATAACCATGCAAAGAAATAGGATAGAAGGCTCTAAGTTGAACAAAAAACAATACCTCTTAAATGTAAATATCCTATTCTGGACATAACTGGATCGGTATTCAATTGACATGAATAACCACCGATATCGCTCTCCTAAAATTTATGAGAATATCGGAAAAAATTATCAAATATTTTATCAAATTATCAAATATTTCACCGCGATTTTAATGTCTAAAAAAAGAAGATTCACCTGAACATTTTTCACAACGAGAATCCACTCGTCATTATTCACTCTTGGACGAATCTCATATTTGTCCCTTTGTCGAAACACCTAAAAAGAAAAACATAATTCAAAAAAAAAATATAATAAAAAGAATTTATTATTTAAGCAGTTCATTAAAAATGCTAAATGGTAAGAAAGCCATGTGCTTAAAATGCCTAAAATTAAGCTTTTATTCCATGCTTTTTTCATATCTGCAAAGTTGACGAATATAAATATCGAGTTAAACGGTTCAGATTTCTCCTTAATTTATAGGCTATATGATTTTTAGGTTTCTTACTTGAACTAAAGCTACAAAAAGGAAATGAAAGTTCGGTTAAGAAGTCAATTTTAAGCAGGAATAGAAATGTACACATAGCTCCTATGCACATATCACTATGTTTATATGTCTCCTATTAAAAAACTCCAATGCCCTCTGGCTTATTATTATTTAAAGCATAAAAATTTGCAAATGAAAATTTTAATTTTATTGAAAAAGAAGTCGTTCATGAATTATAAATGCGAAAAAAATGAATGAAAATTAATAAAATATAAAAAATCATGAAATTTCTTTTATGAGATTTTTAAAGTTTTTTTTTTTTTTAATTAATTCGCTGATTAATCAATGCTTTTGAATTTTATCATTTATCAAAGATAATCACTCGAATAAATCATCATTAATATATATATATATATAAATTATATTTAAATTTTCTCCATTAAAGCTAATTTTCTACTTGAACGAACCACTAATCTTGGTATTTTAACATTTATTACAAACCATTTTACGAAAGGCCATTTTTATCTTTGTTCGATTAATTAAATGAGGAACCTCTTCTCATAAATAAATCAATCCATTATATCGGCTAATTAATCTTGAGCAAATCATTAAAGTTCGATTTATTTATTTACCCAAATTAAAATCTCTTTCTCTTTGGGCAAACTTAGGCGAATAGAAAACAAAAAAACTTTTCATAGTAATAAATAATTAATAAATAATTTATAGAAATAGATTTTATAATTTTTATAAAACGCTTTTTTTTGAATGCAAATTTTATACGTTTTAATTGACTTACACGTTCATTGTAAGTAATTAAACGTGGTGGAACGTCGGCTTTAAGAAATGCAACCTAAAATTAAAAAATATTTATTTTAAAAATTTGTCTTTTGTCGTTGAATATTCAAATATTTCATATAAGTTAATTAATGAAAATTTAGAAAAAATTTCCCAAAATTAAATTTTTTTTCTGGTTTTTTTTCATTTTTTAAAAAATTTTTAATTGTTGCGGTCTAATTTTTATTTTTTATTATTCTAATTTTTCCAAATTTGCATATTCACCATTATTACTGATTAATAACTTTTATAAAAAATGCCAATGTGCTTTCTTACCATATATCTTCCAAGATTTTCGACTTTGCAAATGAACTCCGCATCTTGACCCTTTAAAGTTGTCATATTCTCCATTACTGGTTCGATAAAATTTGGCAATACTTGTTTTCCACAAGCTATAAAATTTTGTATTTTATATTTTATAAATTTTTTATTTGTTTAGGCTAAACTCTGAATTATTTATTTGACTCATATATTCAATACCCTTTCTAATGATAATGATAATTGGTGATAAAAATTAGATAATTTCCTTCTATCGATATTATCGATAACTGATTAATCCGTAAATTAGCAATCAAAATAAAAAATAAATGAAATTCAATCGCAGTAACTAATTTAATTTAGTAAAAAATCAAAGAAAAATAAAAATTGGATCTTTTAATTAAGGTGGCTTTTTTCTGGCTTTCTTTTAGCTTTAAATATTTTCGTTTATAAAATTTATTTTATATCACCCAACAAATCCAAAAAAAAAGGAAATATTATGGAAAATTTGATGAGACTTTAAATCTAATGAAAAAATTAAAATTAACATTATAAGTTTTATTTTAATTTTATTTTTATTTAATAATAATCTTTTAATTTTATTTAATAATAATTTTTAATAATAATCTTTTTCTTTATGAACAAACCAAACAATATAACAATGATAATGACAATAATTAATCGAAAATTAATAATTAAGGAAAAAATTAATCCACACGAAGAGAGATGATTTCCCAGCGGGGCCGACTCGAGACCAATGCCAAGTTACTTTCAATATTTGTTGCTTTTTTTTCTTAAATTCCAAATGCAAATTTCAAATGACAAGACTAATATTTATCGTGTAGGAATTTCTTTAGCAAATTTAATTTTTGTTTCAATATCGTAGAAAATATCACTAATAACAAGCAACATTATCTATAACGAGCAACAGAGAGGAATATAAATAAATTTATCCGAAGTGTTAAGGATTGTCCACTGGTTCGGAAATAAATAAGAAAGCAGAAATCGAGAAATTTCTTCAACCACTTCATTTTTTTTTCTGAATAAATCTACATAATGCAATATTAAATTAAAATATTAAAAATATTAAAATAATATTAAAAATCTCGGAAGAATAATAATACAAATATAAATATATAAATATAAACAATAATATAAAATAATAGTAATATAAAAAACTAAATTTTTTATATTATTATTTAAGGAGGCCCAATTAATAAAAATTTTGTCCACTGGTCCTGAAATAAATAGTAGAAATATAGAAATTTTTTGAAGAATTTTTTTACAGTATCGCTTCATTTTTCTTAAACCACTGATAAGAATCTGTTGTTGGTCGATAGAAGAAAAATATTTGAGAATCCTGGATAATAGTCATTCTACTAGTGAAATATGATTATGGCTTCTTGCGATGTTTCTATTGCATCATTAGGTTTTTTTTAAAAACTGATATTGAAAATTGGAAATCTAAGTAATTTATTCCACAATAATTATTCCAACCTTTCTCAGAAGAAAAGGATATGCTACTGACTTATTTTATTTTTATTTTACTCAACTATTTTGGAAATTTTTAGCGGTTTTTCGAAATTTTCGAAAAATTTTATTTTGTGAAAAATAATTGATTTTTCAGTTCAGTTCAATTTTCATATAAATTCAATATTTTATGATGAAAATTGCGCTTAGATAAATAACGCCAATATCTTTTATTATATACCACATGAGTTAGTTATTCGTGTAAAAAAAAAATCAATCCAGACATCTACTAATATTTGCCTAATTTTTAAGGAAAGAATAACAAATTAATATAAAAATTGAGAATATTTCTTAAATTCTAACAGAAGAAGCTGGTTAGTTGTGTACTTATTGCTTAGAGCATTTGGATTCGGATACACCACCCTCGACAAGAATGAACTTATCATTAACATTTTCTTTATTAGTTATCACTAACATTCCGGATCTATCGTTGTAAACATATCTCTATTTATATTCTAAGTGCCTGATTTCCTGGAAAAAAGAGAAATATTTTTTATCACACTAATTACCAGTGAAGCAAGCCTAAACAAAAATGATGATAAAGTTAATCATTCAACTAATCATTTCTCATTACAATTTTTTAAAAATAAAATTAAACTGAATTTTTCAAAAATCTTTTGAGAAGAAAAAACAGAAAAATATATATTTAGAGTATCGTTTATATTTGAAAAAAATTTAGAATTTCATAAATAAAATTTATAAATGATGAGAAAACGTAGAAAATGAATGGCGTCAAACTCTATTAAGTTAAGATTATTATTATTTTTTGCTTATCAATAGATAATAAATTGCATTGCTTATTCGACTTTAAGATTACATTTTTCTAAGCAAATCATCCTTAAATTTCAATAACATTTAAATAATTTCGAGGAAATGAACAGTAAATAAAACAGGAAATAAATTAAAAATCATTTGCCTTATCATTGATAATTTGTAATTTAATGATAATCAAAGGCAACTTAATAAATAAATAAATAATATGCATTATGGACTTTCTGAAAATAATTTATTAAGTAAAATTTATTTTCACTTAAGAAATATTCATAAAATATTTGGTCGACAAAACAGTTTTTATTGTTGAAATATAATTGCTTGCAGTTAATCCTTTGCGATCAAATAGTATGGGCTTTGTTTGCAAATTACTTTATAGTTAATCCTTTTTTTCATAATTGAGTCCGAAATTTCTCAAATCAATTTCAGCAAAAAATTTTTTCTTAAATTTATTTATTATATTTAAAGATGTTGATATATAATAATTTTTGCAAACAAATATATTGTGTATTGTTTTTGCATAAATAAAACGTTTGAAAAAAAAATACACAAATTTAATTTTTTTATAACAATTGTATATTGTAATTCATAAAATGTTTCATGAAAATAAAGAAAAATTTTGGAGAACCTTAGTATGTCCATTTATTTATAATAGTTTATTGCCGTATCTTATTAATTGCTAAATCCTATGGTGGATGCTTTCAAAAGCTAGGAGGTCCAATCAAGACCTGGACTGATGTGGTCAAGATTTGAAAAATTTGTAGGTGAACCAGCAATATATGGACTTAGACGATAGAAAAAGGAATAGTTTCAGAAATGATATCAAACGAGGAGGCAGAGAAATATTTTTATCTTTATCAGCAGCGAAATGAATTAAACAATGGTGCGATGGTGCGAACTATTTTAGAAGCAAAAGACTACCATATTTTTAGTTATAAATTGGCTAATTAATAAAAAAGAAAATATAAATAAAAGAAATTACCGTTAAAAATATGACAAAATAATGATGGAAAAAATACAATAGAACTTTCATTCATTTTTTTTTTTTTTTGTTTTGAAATAATTCCAATAAAATTAATATTTATTTTTAACAAAAATATCAAATATCCTCTTAAAATGAATATCCTCGAAACAATTAGATTAGAATGGATAGATTTACGAGAAATATATATGACTGAACTGAAACCAAAACCAAATTCATTGACTCGTTGATGATTAAATAAATTTTCGAAATTAGCCATTAGCGTTCTATTGATAATCCATATGAAACTCATAAGATCAGTAATATTATGGCTTATAATTTACTCAGCTTAAGGCCTTATTTAAATTTATAATAACACTTAATTTGTGAAGTGCTAATTCAATTTATCTATCGTTTTCTAGTCGTCAAAATTTGAAATTTGTCATTATTATCAATAATATTTATTTGCTCTAGAAAAAACGCTGATATGTAACTTAAATCGGGCCCATCGAATCTTTTTTTAATCAATCGATTTTTAGAATAATCTTTTTTTTTAAAGAGCTCTCATCATTACTGGTTAAACTTGCTCCGCTGGCTCGTCTCACTAAGCAAATATGCTAGCGAGTGTCTTGGCGATAGAAATACACGTGAGTCTTCAGTATCGCTCGGGTTTTTGGATAGGAAGTTTCGCTCCTGCGGGGAAAAGAATCACACACTGACGCTACGAATTAATAAGCAATAACCACAAAGCCATTCTATTCACTATTAAAATAATATGGATACGTTGCCAAAACTTGAATATTCTTACTTTCCTTTTCCAAGTTTTTTCTTTTTGTTCCTTTTTTTCTTTTTATTTTCCTCTTATAAGTTAATAAAATTGCTTTATCACTCTTATTTTTCGAGTTTTGTTCCTTTTATTCATTTTTCTCTTTTCATTTTTTTCTAATAGTTTTTATGGATTTTTATGCATCTTGTAAAAGTAGAAAATGCATAAAGTAAACAACAAGCTTTCAATAAATCTTTCTAAACATATTATTAACTAATACATAATAACTAATAATAACTAACCCACTAATGTTGCATAAAATTCGATAATTGCTTTCTTCTATTATCGCAAAAATGGTCAAAAATTGAAACTATAGAATAACATAGAGGAGTGGAACGACTCAGCGAATCGTCGATCTCATTTTGGAGAGTCAATGGTGGGATTCAATATTTGGCAGGTAATAATACTATAAAATCCTTGCAAAATGATGGAAAAATCCAGAAACGATAAGTATTCTTAAAAAATAGAATAGTAACGTTTTTTCTCGCTTATCTTCTTCTAAGCCTAGACTGCATTTATCAATATAAAAAAAACTGGAAAATTTATTATTTTATTTCATTTTTCTAAAAAGAATAAAAGAATATTTAGCG